TTGGTTGATGTAAAGATCCTCAGTTAAAAAAATGCAATGCATGCTTGGACATGCGCAAACAATAGAACTAGTACCCCACCATGTCCAGTTTGGTTAGCATGGAACAATTTTTACAAGAAATAACTTTCACTCCCTCACTATAGCGGAGCTTTCCAAAGCCTAGAGCTACATAGGCATCATCCAACTAACCATGTCTCCAATGGAAAATCCTTTCGTCCACTTAATTAACACGCCAGATGAAATGGAAGTTTGTTTTGTGGGAAAAGAGAATGTAAAACCAAGGTCCCTTCTCCCACCTAGAAGAACCTCAGAATCCTTTCCTTTATCAATAAATTCCTTCAACGACGAAGCAATGAAATCAAAAAGATCCTGCAAAAAGAAAAAATTGATTTTAGTGATCTTATATGAACACAACAGAAGCTCAAACAAACCAAACATTAGTGCAACATCAAGGGAAAAAGATAGTTACATTGCCTGTGCTGGTCATTAAATGTTGGGGAATAGGAAGCTGTTCCACATCATGTTCAAAGATAGACGATCTATTACCTTCCAATCGAATACTCAAGACCTTGGAATTTGTACCCCCTAGATCAAGTGCATAGTGGGTCCCAATCTCATTCCTAATAGGAAGAATATTATGTTCGTAAGAATTTTATAATCATCTGACAATCGTTTCGTGAAAACTACAGTTTCAAGGTATATACCGTGAAATTCATATGCATACCCAAGGTTAATATAGTTATACTAAAGCAAGCCAAATGGAAAACTGTAGCTCAATAGTGCCATCATTTAGATGCAGATTAGTGATTTATAAGTAAATGCGGAATTGAGTTAGAAAATGTTTAGAACGGAGATGAGAAAATGGAATTTCAAGCAAATGTTTAAATTATACTTAACGTGATGAGAATCGTGCACACATCATGAAAATGAATGGAGGGAAATGAAATATGACCCACAAGGAGCGGAATAACAAAAAAGAAAACGAAACAAATTTAGTGCAATTCAACAATTCCAAGATAGATGCCGGTCCTATAGATGATCGTATCATGACAAACGGGAAGAGCAAAGAACCAAATCCTTCACGCCATTCTAACTTCGGAGGCTCGTTATGTCATCAAGGATAATCAAACAAATTGAAAGATTTAACCACTGAAAAGAGGCGCCCGGAAGATCAAGGATAAAAAACAATAAGACAAAAGGCAATTATAGAAGAAATTAACGAGGAGGAAAAGCTTAATATTAGACACAGAAATGAAGAAACGAACGCAAAAGGCCGCCACAACGATATCACCCGCAACAATGAGGAAAAGAAATTAGCAGAAAACGCAAGATTATCTATCCCATAGAATCGAGCGATGAATCTTAACAAATGAACCTAAAACAAAAAGACTTAAAGTTAAACTACTCCTAGACGCTAATATCCCGACAAGCAAAAATGGCATCACCGATCAAACAAGCAATCCAAAGTCCCATAAAACCCATGAAATAGAAGATTACCCGTCAGGTAGATTATCAACGAAAGTGAGGAGCATTTTGAGCTTGGAACCTCCTTCTGAAGCCAAACCAGCGTGCATCTCCACAGCCATGGCGTCAACCACCTGCTTCAGCCTCCCCACGGACGTTTCGCAGCCCTCCTCCAGCTCTTTCAAAACCCTCACCACTCTCCTCCATTTCCCTCTGTTCTGTACTCTCCGACCAACCACACCAGCGGCCACTATGCAAGCCACCACTGCAACACTCATAGCCACTCCCACCACTACTCTCCCCATTTCCCTCCACGATCACTCACTCCGTCCAAAAACTTTACCGTAACCTCTTCTCCTACTACAAACCATTCCAACGAAGCGCCACCGTCCGAACATGCACTCCGCTTCCGATTCACTCACCCTCCCGTCGGCACTCCGCTTCCAACGACCCCGTGAAAGAACGTCTCAATACTTTCCCGAAACCGGCGTCCGCAGAGGCCTCCCCGGCACCTCTACGGCCGACTTCGCCGACGGCCGCCGACCGGAGCCGCCGCAAGAATCGGAGAATGTGGTTTTTCACTCCGACAAGCAGACGCGAGGGGATGGGTTTGCTGGGGGGTCTGCAAATTGCAAGAAGAAAGTATGGGAAAGCGAATGGTCAAATACTTATACAATTATATCAAAATGACCAATTTGACCCCACGAGTTCCCGAAAATACCAGTTGTATTACAACAAAATCCGCGGCGATTTTTCACCGTGCCCTTCTTTTTTTCTTTTCTTTTAAAATAATTATTTTATTTACTTGTTTGATTATATTTGCCGACTTTTCCTCTGTTATCTTTGTCCCCATCCATCGCGAGCCATTTCCACCAAAATACTCCTCGTTTTTTAACTTAATTACCATTTTGACACTACTTCCTTCTGGAAAGTCGCTGGCCTTTATTTAAAGTTTAAACTTCACCAAAAAAAAAAACCATTTTTCTTTAGTGGGTTCTCCAAACGCGCCTGTTAAAATCGCGTATAATAACAATAATAATAATGATTGAAGATAGCCATTGAAGCATATTGGTGCCACTGCCTCTCTCTATATAAAAACTTAATAACGAGATTACTATTCAGAATATATTTTTTTTTTTTTGAATTTTCCGTAGGTAGGTAGCAAAGAAAAGTCAAAGTGGAAATTGACCTGTGGGGAAGGAGGCTAATTTGGGAAATTGCAGGAGAAAAGGGGAAAATATTGACAGGGGGAGGGGGGACAGAAAGGGAAATTGGATGGGGAAGGAGGGGAGGGGGAGGGGGAGTGTGGCGGAGGAGCGGCGACGGTAGCTGCGTCCCGTATTCGGAGGATACGACGCCGTACTGCCAGCTGTTTCACGCTAATGCCCAGCTGTGCGTGGCAGAAAAAGCAACCAATTCTGTACTCCTCTCTTGCCTTGCCTTTTCCAACTCCAAGATTTCCATTTTCTTTTATTATTATTATTATTTTTTTAAATTACCACTCCGTTTCTGACAAAAATATAATAATAATAATAATAATATTATTATTATTATTCCACGTTGCTGTAATTTACGTACCTTGCTCTGCTGTCTTGCACTCTCCCGCCCAATTTTACCAACTGTTTTTATCTCGTTAAATAAAAATAATTCACTTTATAACCCCCCTTTATTTATTATTTTCTAAAAAAAAAAATATGAGTTGGCAATCGGCAATCCCAGTCCCCAACCAACACATATATCTCCCCTATATATTATTGGGTTCAATCTTGTTTTTGGAACCTAAAACTCTTGAAATTATTTTTATTTTTAAATGTTTAGAGTATTACCTTTAACTTTTAAAATGCTGTGTTTTAATTTTTTAACTCTTAATAAGTTTCAATTTTGTCATTGATTATTTAATAAATAACATGACTTTATTGATTTGTTATTTAGAGTACGTGTAAACTTTCATTTTATACTAATTTACAGTTCTCATTTCATACCTCTTTCGATTTTTTAGGAATATTCATTTACTTTTTAAATTTCTAGCAATTCTACTATAGTGTAAAAATTTTACGTAAATATTTATTTTGAAAATTTTAATATCAGTTTTCTATAATTTATTTATAAACTGTATTTCAGGTCATTTGCAATATGATTTTATTTTTAAGTGAATGTAAAGGAGAAATTTTGGGCTAATTCACGAAAAATTAGGAAAATGCGTCTCGAAGTTGGTGGGGGAACGCGAAAGCATAGAGTTGGCAAGTGAATCGTAGCCGTTCAGATTTGAGAATGGAAGATCTTACGGTGTGCTTTGCGGTTGGTTGGTTTTGGCGGAGTTGACTGTCTCCAACTAAAATTTTGATTTTAAAATGTGACCGTTTTCGATTCCCTTGTTCACTGTATGGAAGTGGAACACGTGTTTTATTTGCCATTGTAAATAATAATTTTATGAACAACTTTATAATTTAATTTCGATGAGATATTAATTTCACTGTGTAATCGAATTTGTGATTTGGTTGGATGAAATTAAAATTAATGACTAAAGTTGACTCATCAAATACTTACAGAAAAAGAAAATGATCAAATCTTTCTTTTTTTTCTTTAATTTCAAACTGCATATAGTTTGTATCAAGTCAGGGTCGCTATTATAAAGTATATGTGTTTAATTTAAGCATCGAAATAGAAATAGAAATAGAAATAAAAAAAATTACAGCTTCGTGTGTAATAGGTACACAGTAAACTTTTATGAATGAGATTTGGGATTTTCTTTTAGTACAACCATTCAACAGGGGATTTGAAAGACTGGTGCCAATTACCTAAGTTATGTTCATGTTGGTGGGATTTGAGAGTTTTTAAGACATGATATTAATAATGCATATCAAAAGTAATGTACTAATCCATTGTATTTAATTTATTAACATTAAGCCAACACAAGTTTAGCTTAGCGGTAATTGATACCTCTCAATAGTCAAGAGGTTATGAGTTTGAATCCCCACGAGCTACCATCTTAAATATATTAAATCACCAATGAACTTACGAGCTACCATCTTAAACATGTTAAATCACCCCTAAATTTAAAAGCCTAATAAAAATTCTATAATATGAAAACAGATGTTAAAATGCATAAGATGTGATACATATAAGAATTGAATAGTAGCACAAAAGGTATGTTTCATATAACTAAATTGGTGTAAGACAGGCTCATGTAACTTCATATATAACTCGTAGGGTCAACTAATTCATCGTGTAACACAAACAAACTCTCACATATCAAACACGTGCTCGATTTCTCATACTCGAGTTACACACAAGTCTAATAATATATATGTGAAACACTTCATTTAGTTTATCTATACATGATTCAACTCAAATATACATGTAACTTCTTTTTCTTTTTCTTTTTTAATCGATAATTGATGTTGTGTGGCTATGTCAATTGAATCCCTATAACTTGGAGTGGTAGTTGCGGATACCATCACATTGTAACCGACTTGGATACTGAGTGGAAACCCTCACTTAAAATTCACCCTTCGAGACTCGGATATGGGTGCATGGCAAGTGTTCTCAACTGGCCCTGAGTCCGCTCCACCGCACCTGTAGGTACAAACATACGGGTAACTTAATCCCAAAATTTGGAGGTGTATAATGTCGCAATCAATTAAAAGTTATCACAACAAATAGGAAAAAGTGAGCTTGAAAGAGAAGTTTTTTTTTTTTTTTTAATCGATAAGAGTCAAGAGGGGACATGAGGGTGACATAAATGAGTAGACATTTTAGAAGGATTGTGTGAGGTTAGGTTATAGTTTAGTTTAGTTTTATGTACAACTTGATTTGGGAGGGGCATCTCTCACCAATCAAAGTGCCCAAACCAATTTGGTCAGAAGAGAGAGATGTGTGTGGCTGCTTTTATTTGCGCTTTTTCATCTCTTTTTCGTAAAGCAAATATATGGTCGGTGACTATTTTCTATCCCACAAAAATCTTCCCTTAAATTATAAATTATGAACCTGTAACTCGTTTAGTAATATTTCTTGTTTAATATTTTTCGTTTTTTATTTAGGAGGAATACAAATATTTGGTAGCTATTTATATTTTTAGTTTCTTATTTTTAATAAATACGTTTTAAAAATAGTATAAAGTACTCTTAGAGTTCAACTTTCTTGTTTCTTATTCTTATTTTTTTTCTTAAAATATAGATTTTATTATTAGTAGTTTATAAAATTCATAATAAATATGACTAACAAATGTGAATGTGTAATTAAAAGATAAAATTCATAACAAAATTTTAATTTTTTAATTTTAAATCTAAGAGAACAAAAACTGATAAATAGTTAGTGTTACTAGATATATTTATTTTGATAAAAAAAAAGTTCCGTTTCATATCCATTTCTTTTTTTTTCTATATTTAAAAAATAAGTCTATAAACATTCATTACACCTATGTTTTTCTTTTTGTTATCTATTTAAAAAAATCCAAAATCTAAGCTAGATTTTCAAAACTAAGAAAGAAGCAGTTTATACAATTTTTTTTGTTTGATAATTAACAAATAATTCAAATATATTTTTCAAAGATATCAAAAGCATACCAAGAAATTGTAAGAAATTCTTCGAAAAGAAAGAAAAATAAATCAAACATAGATTTTTAAAATAAAATAGTTATCGGACCTAAAAAATAGAAACATAATTAAATTTACCTTAAATATTTATTATTATTATTTTGAGAATGGCTAAATATTTGATTTTTAAACCGAGAGGAGTATTTTCAGTTGGTGTTTTTTTTTCGAAGGCAAATCTTATAAACAACATCTTCGCTCAAACGGTCATTGTTATACAAATAAATGTTTTATAAATAGACTTAAAAAAAGAAAAAAAAATCAAGAATTACTATCTACTGTATTTTTTTTTTCATTTAATGTTTTTAATGTTTTGGTCCCTATTGTCTCATAATTGAGTCTTAACGTCATCTGCCATCAAATTGACTAAATCTAAATAGTTTTACTTTCTACTATTTATGTAAAAAGTAATATCAATATTATATATATATTATCGCTTATGTATAAATCTATAATTGAATTTTAATCGAATTATTAATTGATATAATTATATTGAATTGATATGTTTGAAAAGAAAAGGACTAAAATAAAGATAAGAATGAAAAAACATAAAAATGGAAAAAGAAATGCACTAGTATGAGCCTTATTTAGTAAAATTAATAACATCACCAATATTTTTTTGGCAACCTATTTAGAATAAGTAAACCTAATTGTTTACTCTGGGGAAATAAAAGAATGTGCCGTTTTTAAAATTATTAATTTTGTAGATAAAGAAAGAATGTGCCATTTAATAATTGAAAGAAAAAAAAAAGGACCTATATAATTAAGCCACTTTTGGACAGTCCAATGGGGCCCACAGAAACATAGAAGGTGAATCTTACCTAATTCTATTCCTCTTGGTGACTCCAATTAAATGGTGGGTTTGAATTTGACCACTCTTTTTCCTTTCCCACTTTTTTTTTTCCAATTGATTATTTACATATATCTATTATTTATTATTATTATTATTTTGCTATCTCCAAAAGCCCAGCTGTGACTTTGTAATTTTTGCACGTGACAGTTGGGAGCGTTAATTTTCTTTTTTTAAAAAGGCTGTCAATAATTTATTGCGCAAGACTGCTGTTTCTTTTTTTTAATTAAAATTATATTGTAAATAAGGTTGGAATATTTAAACTTACAAGTTGACCATATTATAACTTATTAAAAGAAATATTACATTAAATTATATATTTCACTTGTATCATGTATGGTTAATTTGATGGTAACATAATTCATTTTCATAATAGATTGTCATTGAGACTTTATTTTTTTTAGTACAATAAATTTAGATGTAAAAACTTGAACCTCTAACTTCAAGATAAAAAATAGATGTCTTAACCAAGTTAAGTTAATGTTCATGTGGCGACTCGCTATATCATTAACATTTTATTAGTATGGATTTCAATCACAATTAATTTATGTCAAAGATTATGATAATATTTAAACAAAACATAATTATCAAAACTAAAATTTTGATACGTGCATGGATAATATAATTGATAAGTATATAATGGATTATATAAATATAACTATCAAAGTGTTAAAATAAATATTCAACGTTTAAGTATATTTCGGTCAACAAATTTTGATGCCTATTTCATTTTAGTTTTTTAATTCAAATATTATGTTTTGATCTACAATGTGCTTAAGACAACTTTCCATCATTTATTATTTGTAAATTATTCTACCACACATATATTTTATTCTCTTGCCTGACAAGTAAATATCTACGTGGTGGAGGTGGATATGTAAACAACGAAAATGTGTTTTTTTTTTAGGGTTTGCAAATCTATAGTTAGTTCTACGTATTTATTTAATTTGCTCTTTATTAATGCATGAAGCTCTTTCAAATAATGTTTCAATAACGAGGGACTGTTAAGATAACAGGTTGGTGACCGTGAAAGCCGAAGAATGCCATCCAGCCGGGTGTGACCATCCAACCTATCTTACGTGTCCGTATCCCCACCGCCAAATATTTCCACCGTGGAGGAGGGACCACATCCCTCACTGCCGGGTAACAGTTTCAGAGAAAAGTAAATGGATGCTCTGTACATATATGGTGAATCAATTAAAATATTGTTGGGCATCTGTGTTTTAAACTTGGGCCATGACATTGGTGAACAGATGCCCAATATCCATTTTGATTTATAAACCTTAATAGATAAAAAAAAAATTACAAAAAAATTGTTAAATAAATATAATTACAAAACTAAGCGTGTGCATAATTGAGTTAGCTAAAATATATTAATCCATGTATATTTATCATTCTTAAAAAAAAATCATAGTTTCAAATTCTCAAAAAAAAAAAAAAAAACAGTGATTTTTATGATTACTGTTCTTAGTAAGGAAAGAAAGATGAAAAATAAAATAGGACATAAAAAACCTCTTATAAAGGAACATCAGCGTGTATAGAGCAGTTTACCCGGCATGGATTTTCCTCCGACCACACTTCAGAGTTGATTTTCTTGCATAAATTGCTAAGGAGTTTTTTGCTTTTGTTGCTCCCAGAGGTAATAAAGAAGCTCTCATTCTCTTTATTTTTCTCATTGATGTATTCAATTATGTTTCATTTTAAAAGCCATAGTTTCTGCAAGCTCACGCGAACCCGTGAGTTTCCTGAATCGTTCTGCTACTACCATTATCTCTCTCTTGAAATCGTGAATTAAAGCCCCAAATTCAACATTTACATTGAGAATTGCTGCACCTATGTTGAGCTTGTAAGTTGTGGTTTTGGAGGTGTCCAATTTTCTCATTTTTTCTTAAGCCGGCTACTTTCTAAAAAATGTCTATTTGAAAGTTGATGGACTACCTGATTGTATGTTGTAACTCTATTATATGCTTTGTCTCTTTTATGTTTTGGTCTACTTCTAATGAGTGAATTTGCATCTCCTTTTTGGCTTTCATCCCCCTTATCTACTCTACAGTTTTGAGCTTTACCGAGAGGATCTTCAATTGGTTTCTCCTTGTTGAAAATTGTTGCATTCCTTTTCCTCCACATTGTGCATAAAGCCATGGTAAAGACTCTAAGATTCTCCCTATAAAATTTCATGTGTTGCCCTACATAACAAAGTAGAAACATCATAGAAGTGGTTTTGAAAAAAATGACTCAAGATGGGTCCATCGGACCCAATACTTTTTTGTACTTTTACAAAACCACAAAGCATGAATTTCCACATTGAGAGCAAACACAATCGTAAACAACTTTTTTTTTGTGAAGGTTTAGCTTGGTATCAAAGGTATTAATATTCATGAAAAGATATGTGTAGCGTGAATTATTTCTTGGTCGGAGATATATAGTAATTACAGTTGAGTAAGGTTTATTTTGACATTTAACTACAAAATTTAATTATAGATAAAATATTTTATAGTACCATTAGTATTAGGCACGTTTTATTGTATTTAGTAGATCGCATCACACATTAATTTGAAATTTAACGACAACAAATTGATGGGTTAAAAATGGACTATTAGAAGATAATTTCAGCTTAATTTAGACTGAGTTCTACCATGTTCTTTTAGATCAAGACTAATATTTATCTTATGTAAAAAAAAAAGACTAATATTTATCTAAAAAAAATTCAATAGTAATATTAATCCAATAACTGTACCCTAACTCACACCTTTTAAGATTTAGCTAGGAATTGATTATCCATTTTTTTCCTATCTTGTAGTAACTGCATTGAATATTTGTCCAACAAATTGTTTATTAATGACCCAAGAATATGAACTTTCTACGATCATTACGAATTGAATTATAATCAAATTTGTTTGAGTCGTTTACTCATGCCAGCAGTTCACGATTATACAATTAGAATAATTTTCATTTCGCCTCAAATATAAGTCTAAAATAAGTAAATGTTAATCAACGATTAATCTTAAATTACTAAGTTTCCGTTTTAATATAAAGAAATGAGGTAAATTTGTTCATAACTTGTTCGCAAGAAGGTGGTGATGCCACGTCAGCAGCAACGATAAACTGATAATGGGATAGAGCCTAGAGGAGAGGACTGGGCAAGCAGAACTCACCTGGTGCGGAGAGCGGCAAACGATGGCGGGAAGTTTGCTCCCTTTGAAAAGCTTTTCTCCGATGGCCATGGCTATTGCCGAGACTGAACTTCCGCTTCAACTGCCACAGAATGTTCGCAATTCCAGGGTTTTGGTGCTGGGAGGCACCGGCCGGGTCGGCGGCTCCACCGCCATTGCTCTCTCCAGATTCTGTCCCGACCTTCAGATCGTCATTGGTGGTCGCAACAGGTGATCCGTCTATGTTAATTTGATTACGGCTAGTTCCACTTCCTTCTTACTCTGTTTTGCTTGGCGAGAAAACGTGGCCGAGTAGAAACTCAACGAGTAGATATTATGTTTTAATTGCTTCGGTTCTATTAATTTCTTCATTTTTAGGTCATAATTAGAAGTTTGGATTATCCTGTATTTCCTCGTCTTGAGTTTTTTTTGTACAAACCTAAATTGTTCTTCGTTGTCTGTAAGTCGACGGCATTCCGAGAATCCGACCTTATCTAAATTGAGATGCAAAATGACGTAAAGTGCGTGCTGTGACAGGGAAAAGGGCGCAGCTATGGTTGCGACGCTCGGTGGAAACTCTCGCTTTGTTGAAGTCGATGTTGAGAATGTAAAATCGTTGGAGGCTGCTTTGAGAGGTATATTGATTCTTCTTATTAATTTATGATTTCGAAACGTTACTCTTTGGTTCTATTTCTTTTCCAATTTCCATTTTCGTGTGTGAAATATGAAGCTGCTACTGCTGATTATCTTTCTTAGATAATTGGTACAAAGGTCGCAACATTCATTCATTCATTATTTCTTTCTTTTCTTTAAATAAAAAGTCGAAGTAAAAACTTAAGCAGTCAAATTTTGATCAATTTAATAGTTTATTATCCACAAACATAAAGTTGTGGTCACGAGGAAATATTATCATATATAAAGTTTTACCTTCGAGGCTACGAAAAGAGTTGAGTGAAATGCAAGATCACAGTTGAAGGATTTTTCACTCTTTAAAATTTTTAATAGCGCTTTCCTTTCCTTTCTTTACTGTTGTTATTATTATTTTTTTAATCGATCCTTTCTTTATTGTTATTATTATTATAAGTGCTCTCAAATTCCAGTTGCCTATTTATAGAAGTTCCAACTTCCAACACACATGGATACACCTGCACCTGTCGACGGCTTTCTTCTTTTTGATTTATACAACATAATTACTTTTTTAAGTTTTAGCTCTGACTAATAACATGGTGTTGTCTCTAGATGTCCTATATGATCAACTTCACGGCCATATTTTTCTCGTTGCCTCCAAAGACTGTCAACCGACCAGAACTTTGGTGGTTCCTTTGACCTTGATGTAAAATTCTGATATAGTCTAATATAATATCATCGTTTATTGATACTAAGATTAGTGAAATGACATACAGGGACCAATTTCTCATCCCCCTTGGTTGTTTTTATTGTCTTACCATGTATAATATTGTAGTAACTGCTTTTACCCATAATACCTTCTGCTTATTGTCTTGCTACGAAAAGTTGTTTCTTCTTCAAAAAAAACAAAAAAACAAAAAAACTGCTTTTACACTGGTCTAAGAATATTAAAAAGAAGGTATTATAGATATTTTTCGACTATTTTCTTTAATACAGATACCATCTATAATTTCTGTCTGGATCAAAACACGTGAAAACCTTGCACCCTTAACAAGGGCGTTTAAGTCTCTAACATTTTTATCACCAAGGGCGTTTAACTGAAATCTGTAGCTGTCACTACAGATGTGGATCTTGTAGTTCACACGGCCGGTCCTTTCCAACAGACAAAGAAATGCACTGTACTTGAAGCTTCCATAGATACCAAGGAAAGGGCTGCTGCAGTTGCATTAAAAATCTTACTTTTATGACCATATGTTGATGAAGTTCTTTGTCTATGCAGACAGCCTATGTTGACGTTTGCGATGATACAAACTATTCGTGGAACGCAAAAGCTTTAAAGAATAAAGCTATAGATGCAAATATTCCAGCTATTACAACTGCTGGCATTTATCCTGGAGTGAGCAATGGTACACAATATATGCGTTCTTATCATGCATTTTTCCTATTTAGATCATTCTTATTATATGATAGATGCTAAATCTCTTAAATTGAATTCATTTTTTAATCAATTCATTGGCCCTGAACGTATTATAGGAAAGACAATGTGTAAACTGATTGGAGAATGGTTAAAGGTTGAAGTTTAGTTTCCAATGGGCAGTAAAAGCAATATATTCAAGTCAATATTCTCGTCTAACTGATAGATTTTTCTTTTGCATCATGCCAGTAATGGCAGCAGAGCTTGTGCGTGCTGCAAGAGATGAAAGCAAGGCTGAGCCCGAGAGGCTAAGGTGAAGTCCCCAACAATAATTTAACTAGTCAATAGACCTCATGACTGACAACGTGTACTTTTCCCATCACTTATTAGTTCAACATTGTAGTGGCGCCAAAGGTTGTAAACAAATTCCCTATGCCAACAGCGAAGAAACAAGTTATAATCTCAGTTTTCATTTGGTATCGTCTTTCATAGACTATGGATCTTCTTTGAGGAATTTTCATAGTTTTGAGATTTTATATGAAAATGGAAGAAAACCAGATCAAAGGGTTTTGATTTTTAATGCCCTTCATATGGTTTATATTTTCGAATCCTGACTTCATTTCAATATTGTAATGGGAGGCAGCAAAGGATTTACATTATATCCTTTTGGTCCAAATTAATTTTGTAGTACTTTCAAAGTAGAACCATGCCATACATACTATTTTGTATGATTTGGAATGATTGCAAAATGGTTTGGTTAGCGATTGCGTTTGAAATCTTATTGTCTTCTTTCTTTGTGAGTTCATTTTAGCATAACCTTCAGTTAAACTAGAAATCTTGGAAGTCGTTCTGACACCTAGATATAAAAATTGATATGGTGCTCTTTCTTCAGCAACTAAATGTAAATTCTTGTCTCAGATTCTACTACTACACTGCAGGCACTGGTGGTGCTGGTCCAACTATATTAGCTACTAGTTTCTTACTGCTGGGAGAGGAGGTAGTCGCCTATAATAAAGGTCAGTGTCAACGGCAACTTGTGTGTTTGTCTACATAATATGTAGATTTTGTCTCGTATGCTGGGCAGCAACTGATGCACCACACGTGTTTGGAAGCAGGGGAAAAGCTCAAACTCAAACCTTATAGTGGCATGCTCAACATTGACTTTGGAATAGGAATTGGAAAGAGAGATGTATTTCTGCTGTAAGTTCATTCTATATCGCAAAGCTTTGATAGTGCAAAATTTCATAGTTTTGCGGTTTGCTTTAAACCGACCATAAGAAAGCTTTTGGACGGACTGATGTGCTGCTTTTATAGTTCAAAATGCGTATACCATACTACACAATCATAGGAATCCATATTCAAATCTTGGAGGCAGGTATTTTATTGTATTTTTGGTGATGTGTCTTGAAGAAAACCATACGTGCAGAAGTCTTCTGAATTAAGTGGATGGTTCCAAGTTATGGTTAGCTGAATATTACTAATTTCCTTCCCCATTTCTTGTATCACCATCAACTTTAAGGATAAAAGTTATTGCTTGCTCTTTTGGTGACATAGTACTTGCAATTGGCGCCACTTTGTGAGGCAAATCTACTTCTTTGCTTTGAAACATTTAAGCTACATCTTGAGTAAAAATATGTTCATTTCAGGAATTTGCCAGAGGTAAGCACTGCACATGAGATCCTGAGAGTGCCGACAGTCAGTGCTCGTTTTGGTACTGCTCCTTTTTTTTGGAATTGGGGAATGTTAGCCTTGACAAATTTTTTACCTCTGGTACGAGTTGAATTATCTATTTTTATCATTAACTGCTGAAATAAGCTCTTTCAAATTTAATGTCAGAAGTCAACCCCAAGAAAGTCTTTCCTTGGATCATACAATGGCTGCTGAATAACTCTATTTAACTTACTGTGCGTCAATCATAAATTTGTTTATACAACACTGATTTTGAAGAAACGTCTTACTCTGCCTTACAGTTTGATGCATACAATCGTGCGAAAATATGAAAATATTTATTATACTTGAGAGTCTAAATAAAACTAGTCATATAAATAGACTGCTATTACAGAATATTTACAAAGCCATAACTAACTGTAACAAAACAACTAACAATAAAGTCTAATAATTTTTCTAAAAATTATCAAGAACCAAAAAACATACAACTTACCTCTCCAATCAAACATCGCGTACAATGAGCAGGGGCTCCTATATCAATCGGAGATTGACTGAATCATGCAGGAATATTTTAGAGATAGAAGCAAAGTTCAAAAATTGGTCCAATTGTTTGATCCTTTTGTTCGGGCATTAGATGGCCTTGCTGGAGAACGTGTATCCATGAGGGTGAGACACCAAACTTCTTATGCATGACATTAAATTTCAGGTGTAGGAAGTCTTAAATTGCTATTTGTGTATTAGAAGTTTCCAAACGTTTACTCTTTTTGAGTAGGTTGATTTGGAGTGTTCGAATGGGCGTAACACACTGGGTATTTTCAGTCATCGGAGGCTCTCCCAGTAAGTTTTTTTCTCAAGAGGTGTCGTCATTTAACTCTAATCATCCCTATCCAAGATTAACCCCCCATGTTCTTTCTTGAGTTATATTGGAACTATTTCAGATCAGTGGGAAACGCGACAGCTGCATTTGCTCTTGCTGTTCTCGAGGGAAGCACACAGCCTGGAGTTTGGTTTCCAGAAGAGGTATATACAGTCTCTTAAATCTTTATCCTGGAAGTTAACTGTTAAAGTCACTGGTTTTAAATTTAATTATATCCCCATATAGCCCGAAGGAATAGCAGTTGAAGCCAGGGAAGTTCTTCTAAAACGCGCTGCCCAAGGAACAATCAATTTTGTGATGAACAAGTAAGATGATCTAGACGGTTCGAATCAGTACACATGTATATCCTGATTAGTACTTCAGCTTGCTATTATCATAATCACCTTTTTAATGTCAACAGGCCTCCATGGATGGTTGAAACAGAGCCCAAAGAACTTGGTTTAGGAATATATGTGTGATATTTCTCCATGACACTAAATCTTTCTTTTGTCAACTTCCTGGTGTTGCAAGAGGTATGAGTGACACTACTCTTGTTTACGTATTGATGGTGTTATCTATCAGTGAGGGAAAGTTTGGGATGACTTTTGTGATGGTAAAAGTCCTTTTTCCCATTATAATTATTTTTCAAAATTTTCATATTGCTGGGTTAGGAAAGTCAAAATTGATTTTGAAAATTTAATAATTATCTAAAATACTTTTAGTTGTAACACTTAATTAGTTATTCTCCAAAAATTTTACCGTACAAGTAATTTTTTTTTCCCTCAAAAATCATCCCAAAAACACCCTTAATGTAATAGGTCAGCTTGTCTTGACCAACCTTTTGGGAGTTTGATTCTGATTGACCAGGTGCTGGAAGTAGTTGATTTATGAAGAATGCCCTTTTTTTTGTCTGATTCTGATTCTGATTAGATCAGATTAGCTCGTGGATAGCAGATGACGAGAAGGAATTTCATGTAATTTATGTAGAGATTTAAGAAACTTTTTACTTATGCTGGAGGTTTTGCTTTTAGAAAATTGTTTTTGTTTTCAACAATGAAAACGGAAACTATTTGGACGTTGAAAAAACTCGTTCTTTCACCTTTTACAGTAAAAATTCATTAACTTTTCTCACATTTTTTTTAGTTTATATATATATTTTGGATCTCTGCATCACACTAACTTAGATCTCAAGTTCGAACCTTTCGGTAAGCTTAATACTAAAAATTGTTGATGTCTCCCGGGTTTAGACTTTAGGACGAGTGTGGGTGTCCCTGGGTACAAGGGAGCGAAGCTCCGACTTCCGGTCATCACTCAAGAAAAAAAAGTTTATATCATAGATAACCATTTTTTATATATAATAATATAATTTTTTTCTATTAAAATTATGGACTTTGCCTTAAATGCTTTGAGAATTTTTAGTGGCCTGCAAAGTTTTCTGGCTACCTTCTCAAATTGACTCCTAAATTTAAAGCTTCGTCTCTAAAAAATCTATGAAGTAAAATTGGCTCTACTTTGAGAGGCGATAGACAGGATTACAGTTCATTCTTTTACTTTTTTGATAGAAAGTGAGATCCACTGAAAATTCATTGTTATATTGTCCTAATTTTGATAATCAATCCCTCATTCTTACTTGAAATTCTTTAATCGAGTTCACGATAAATATCTTATTCAACAGCTCGCCTAAACCAAGTTTCTAAACATTTCTAGATCAAACGCCATTAACCGAAATAATTGCGATAAAATCTCAAAAGAAGGTTCATTTTTTAGGTCCATCCTGAGAACAAAAACATTTCAAGGAAGAAAGCAAAAAGAACAAACTTGCTATAGAAACAAACTAAGACAAGACTAAGAACCTTAAACAAGAAGCTAATATCCAACATCTGTTTCAAAAGTCACAATGATCGTTCTTAAGTATGTTCTCAATCTTATTTAATCAAACAGACAAACGCAACAATTTCTAAATTGGTATTCATAAAAAAGTTCATTCCGAAAAATCATTTACAAAATGAACCACTCATCTCAAAGGCGTTCACAGTCAATCTATAATATATGTTCTACTTTTCTTGTTTTCTTTTTCATAATACATCACTCTTTAAGAAACTCAGAATATAATCAGACCACACAGTCATCAGCATGGGGATTACTTCGTCACTCACAGATCGAATTCGACATCAAGTGTAAAAAGAAGAGGGTACATCAAACGCGCTAAAAACGTTATGCAGAACTGGTAATTACCACATTGTTGAAACGCTAAACTGTAAGAGTGTGGTTAGCATATCCTGTCAGAGACTAAGCAGCTATTAGATGTTGTGATTCACTTGTTTACTCATCTCTTCTGTCTGTCTGTACATTGCACTATGAACAAACTACACACTTCCTCTCTCACCCACAATGAGATCCCCATAAAACATGGGGGCAAAAAAGCAAAACCTTGAAAACCTGCATCCTTCTTTTTGTTTTGTTCTAAAATGTATGTTTTGTTTTTACCTTCTTCTTTTCCTTTTTCACTCTATAATCAAAGATGAATCTATCATCTTTAAAATCACCAAACCTCACTCTTAATCTTATGAACAAGCTACTAAATGCAAATGGAACAACTGGAACACCTTCATTTTATGTCTCTATGGCATCGTCAAGGTTGTTTGTGTTAAGGATTAGACTTTCACCTCTTTTTCAAGATTTTGCCATCAGAAATCTGTCCATGAACCAATTGTCAACTCTTGGCCCTCTCACTGGGAGGGGTTAAACTGCAGCTGGGTTTCTTGATAGAATGATCGATTATTGGCGAGTGCTGGTGTAAAGCCTCATTTGAAGGCCTGAATTCTGTCCTGACATGTTTTTCATAGAGTTCTCATGAGTACCTGGTTGATCGAGTAAAATCTGATCCTCGAGAACCATAAGATCTCCATAGATCTCGCCACTGAGGCCTAACACTGTTTCTTTCAAATTGATGACCCTGATGAACATCTGTATGTGGTGATCTAGGGGTGCTGCTTCCATTGCGTTTCTTCTGGGCAGTCCTCATCTCTTCTTCCGCATCATATCGTGACCGCTGACAAAAAAAAATAAAGGATCATTACAACCTATAATCATTTGGTAAAATGTATTAAGCTATACGCTAATGCCATGCCACCATTATGGTAGTTATATATATTATTAGTAATTAGCTAAGGAGTTTGTTAATACGAGTTAGTTACCAACAAAGATAAGAATGAAGGTAGACTAATATTGTGGGAGTTTAGGCGGTTCAAGTACCTCAAATTACTTAAAAGTTATCTTTACGTATTTTCTTCAGATTCCTAAATTATGGTTAAGAATTAAAGAAAACTCAGTTACCTTAATAGGATCTGAGAGTACTGCATATGCCTCTCCAATCATTTTAAAAAGTTTATCAGCATCCTTGTGGACTCCTCCCGCTATATTCTTCCACAGCACATCATCTCCATTGTCTGCTCTTGCCAAAAATTGACCAGCCTAAACAGGTAAGAAACTTTTATTGAGACAGTACACAAAAAAAGCGTAAGCATATCAACAAAGTAAACAAAACTAAACCTTGTCTGGATGGTATCTGAGAGCAGCTTTCCTGTACGCCCTCTTAATTTCAGCTGAAGATGCAGATGGATCAACTCCCCTGCCATCATAATAAATTACTAGCGATTCTCATAACCTGAAATTCAAGGACCTCTCTTAAAATTTGTATCCTACTACTACATCTTTAGATGTCATTCACTCCATATTTTCAGTACCAAAAAACTGCATGTCAAAAACTTTATTATGTCAGTAAAACTAATATTTTCTGGGGGGTAAAGAAGTGTAAATCCACAATAAATGAAGAAATCAATGTCCTTGTTTGATAACTATTTCGGTTTTGGTTTTCTATTTTTATAAATTAAGCCTAGAAACACTTCTTATACGTTGTGTTTCTTTGGTTTGTTATCTACTTTTTTTTTTTAACATTTCAAAATCTAAGCCAAACTTTGAAAACTAAAACAAGTATTTTTAGAAACTTATAACTATTTTTAGAATTTGGCTAAAGATTCACCTAAGGGAGGTGATAAACAGGTCAAAGAAATTGTGATAAATCAAGTGTAATTTTTTAAAACAGAAATAAAAAAATGATTACCAAACATGACCTAAATAAACCATAAAAAAAACCCCAAAAATGAGAATTCGCTACACTACTTGAACTAACAAGGAAGTAGGATGACCTTAGTGCACTAAATCATCCAAGAGCTAGCTTGGCACATTCTCTACCTAACACATCAATTATTCCCCTAAAAGAAAACTCAATTACAAGGAAGGGAAAGGGCAAACAATCTCATTCAAAGGACTAGACCCCCATAACCTGAATGGACATCTTTGAAGCAAAATTTTTTGTTGAGAAATGGGCAGAGGATAAAACTCATACTTCAAATTAGTGCATGTCCAATTAAAAACACTCAATAAAATTATCAAAATTAACAAAACCCAATTACGCTGGGAGGACAGCGGTTTTTAGAACAGTACAACAAAACTAATTTTGGTTCAGGTTGGTCAATTTTTGTTAGCCTGAGGGGTCTATCAGGTTGGTTTGTCTCTTTTTCATACTGGTAAAGTTGTTCAACATTGGTTAAAAAAAAAAAGTCGGTTCAACATTGGTTTGTGCAAACTAAACCAACCGACCTGGTTTTGCCCCTACTTTCATCACAGATACTCCAATGTCATTATTTTGTCATCACTTTAAGGAGTCTGTTGTCCTTGATAAAATTTACGAGATGAACAAAAAAATTTATGATGAATTATCCAAAACCTCCCACAAACAACAGTTAAGGTTCTTCTAATGTTTTGAGCTGGACCATTGTCCTGAACAAATGTAGTCGGTCGTCAATGGTGAACTACACAAAGCAGACAACTAAATTAATGAATGTTCTTGCACTGGTTCTATCTTCCATGATGGTCCACAGTGTGGGATCTTCTTAGACCCTTCATCCCATTTCATAAGCAATGTGCCATCGCATGTAACGCATAGGGGATTACTAGCCCCCGCAGACATACATCTGGGATGAAGAATAATACTAAGATTGATAGAATGAGATCAAGGCAGGATCCCGGGGGGAGTAAATGAAGCATCATATTCATCATAACATCAATTTGACAATTCAAATATATCTTTGTTGCATTTTAGTATTTTTTGTATATTAACAATGAGTGATAAAATTATAATAGTTGCATTGATGGAAAAACCTATTTATTCTAATGCTATAAAGTTGAAAAAAAGTTATCTAATCAATTGTTCAACATATTAGGAAACTAGACCACTATTTCACTACCAAATGCAACACCTCAGAGAAAGCCAGCTATTATTTAACAGATTTGTTGTATGACAGGTGATACTTACAGAATGAGGTACATATCCAGTGGAATTTCTTTTCTTGATTCTTCTTCAACTTCCGCAAGCCGGAGACGAGCTTGTCTCAAGTCATTTGTGCTGGTACTTGATCGATCAGAAGTGGCATACTGATAGGAGGTCATATCTAATCCCTTAGGAAAAAGTGATACAAGCTTTTGGAGTTCACTAGCTGCTTGACCATAGTCTCTGATCATTTCATACAAAGCAGCTCTTCTAGAAATTGCCTGCGAATATAAAAGCTCAATAAGAAAATAAATGTAATTAAAACTGCTATTTCTTGAGTTGCGTTCACCTAGACTGTAACGAAGATTTAGATGTTTTCTTTCTTGGAAAATTATTTTGAAAAGTATATTTCTAAATACTTCTAAAATAATATGATACGTCCTTTAATGGTAAGATTAAAAACCATTGATATCTGTTCTCGTGTTTATATATTTTCAAAGGGTAATTCTTAGAAAAACATAATAATAATATGATAATCAGATAATTTACCAAAATCCATACAACATTTCTCTTGAAAGAAAGACAGACTAGAGCTTTATACTCACTCATTGAAGTACAAATAAGAATAAGTGTGCGAGTGTTTCAAAACCTTGTACAGAAGAGGCAGAATCCAACACTGTCCATCCTAAGTAATATTGGAAAACTAAATTCAACCATTTAAATACCAAGTGGAATTTTATCTGAATCAAATGCCTAATAATAATAACAAAAGAAAAAGTTTACCTTGAAGTATTCTTCATCAAGGGCTATGGCAAAACTACAATCTGAAATAGCATCAATAACTTGGCCCTGCGCTTTGTATGCCGCGGCCCGATTGCAGAAACAAACAGCTGTAAAAGGACGTGACTCCACATTGCATGCCAAAGCAGCTGTATAGTGCTCAACGGCTTCTGAATACCTCCCTGCCTGAAATGCTTCATTTCCAGCAGCCTGCACTCATTTAAAGAAAAAAAAACCCTGAAACATTGATATTAAGATGATAAATGGTAAATACAATAACAAAAACAAAAGTATGGGGAAAAGGCATTCTCCAACTAAAATGAAATTGAAGAATTAAACAACTACCCAATGCAAATACAACAGTAAAAGACACGGGCATTTCCAAGTCAACTGCATAGCTTTTGTGAGCACTAAACTGGCGGATTAATCACGGAAAATAAACAATGATATTTATGGATCCTTAATAACCCCAGAAAGGGCTTAAGTTATTATGGTTTGCATAAAGTTTCAGACCAAAACACTGCCTTTTGAAGTTAATTTAATATACATCATAATCCCTATTCCTTTAAATATATCCATCTGTTTGCTGGTGTCTTCTGGTGTCTGTGTTAGAGAAATATTAATTATAGAAAAACAAGGAGATTTTCTCAACTACAAACTTGACATTTGATAACATGATATTTCTAGATCCTTGATCTTTCGTTGTTTTGAGATTAAAGAAAAATATAAAAAGCAGTGAGATCAAATCAATTTAACATTTCTTTAAAAAGGGTTATTTTAAATGAGATTTAGAGACATAGTGTATACAATGAGCCAACATGCATTGACATAGAATATGACATTATTTTATGGAGAAAATTTTGTGCAACCAACCAAGTTCAAGTTTGAACAGAAGATTTCCCTTCTGAAAATTTGAAGGATTCCACATTGAGACGAACAGCATGCAAAAATGATAAATGAATATGATCAAATTCTAGATGATAGAATAGAGAAGCCTCAAAGGCAGAGACAGAGATTTGATGCACATATAGAAAGAAAATGACTTGTAGATCATGCCGAGCATACCTTAAGACGTAGGAGCTCCCTCATGGTCATGGCTAGCGGTATTGATGTCTCCATGAACTTTCTTCCATTCCTGGAACTTAAAATTGTCAAACTCACAAGTCCCACCAATTCCACCTTCTGCAACTGCAAATGACATTCTTTTTCCTCCCTAGTTTATCTTCATTGCAATTTATTTGTTTATTTGTTTCCCGGCTTATAATAACTTAATAAGAGATTTGGAGTTCTAATTTAGTAATATTAGGAAGTAGAACGAATTACCCAATTACTGTAGACACTTTCTCCTCTTGCATTTCTAAAGAAGCCAGACCCTTCTCAAGTTTTCCTAGAAGGAAGTAGGACTTGAGAATCAAGCGGCATCGCCAAACCCTGAAGTACAACTTCTTTGAGATTTCAGAAGCACCCAGATTAGAGGCCCGGCCGACAATATCTTCTGAAGGAGAATTCTTTTCAGCAGAGTCTAGTGTCTGCTCACAAAACTGAATCACCTCCTCATATCTTCGAAGCTGCAGATATATTTTTTAGAATAAAAAGGGTGACCAAAAAGAGAAACCATCAGGTCATTCTGGATGAAGTTCAGGGGCTGCTCAGATGAAATCCAGTTTACTTGCAGTAAAATTTCATAGAATCTACAAAAAGAATATAATGGGAAAAAGAGAAAACAACATCAATAGAGAAGTGCAACAAACCATGAAAAGGGCCTCTGCTTTCATTTCAACTAATTTTTCGGAGCATGAGCTTATTACCAAAGCCTCAGAAATTAATTCCAAAGCACTCTGCATATCACTGGACGTGCTTGTGAGCTGAAGTTCAGCTAAATGTTTCATGCATTCAGATACTTTCTGCAAGCCAGTAGAAAAAGTAAGGCTGGACATATAAAAATCAGAAGTTACACCTATTATAAGAGAGAGATCAACTGAACCTAAAGCCTATCCTAAATTTTGGAAAGACCACGCATAGCTTGACAAGCTTGGTCACTATCATAAGAGACAAAAAGGTTGTGGAAAATGTGGAGTTTCAATAATGGCCTGGTTACCACATTAGCACACAGTTCCCAATGATAATTAGAAAATTAGAGGCAGAATGTATTGATTTTTTTTTTCAAGTAATATACCAGTACTCTAATGTTCTAACTTCTAAATGGTTGAAGGAAAAGGTAACGAGTAAGCCCACCAAACCGATATTCGCTAGCGAAAGAGATATTGGCATAAAAGTATAATATATGATAATTTAAGGATAGAAAGAATAAAAATATTAATTACTTTTATTATCATTGCATAAACTAAACTTCCAATACGTCAAAAAAAAACAAAAAAAGTAAAAAGTAGTCACATGCTAGAAAGAAAATCTGTTACCTGAGCATTTTGCAAACCATCAGAGGCTTCCACTGTAATTTTCCGGTCTACACAGATTTCATTTCCAGGCTGCAGGCATCTCTTGAAATATTGTACCGCATTTTCAACTTCCCCAAGGCCAAGGTAACAGCTAGTTTATAAGATAGTACTTCAGTAAGTTAGGAACATAATTTGCAAGATCTGCTACAACACATAGTTCACCCATAATAAGTCTAAAAACATTTCTATACACAAACAATATTCACGATAGAAATTATGTACGACAACCAAACACAAACAGTATCTGATATCGTAAAAGGTTATAGCATATAAGGAAAAAATCACTAGCAAATCATTCATGATACGACCAGGACACACTATGGTCGGAGTAATCAATACTGATTCTTATGTAAGGCTTACATGTTTTCTGTTGGTCCTGTAGTTTGTTTTCTATCAGAGAGTGGTTCTAGCTTCCTATGTTCGGCCTTGAGGTCAAAAGGCAAGCCATAAACTCATGCCTTTTGACGTCACGAGTTAACTTAAAGAAACTATCTATGTAACAGGGTCTGACAAGAGAAGTTGAGGTTTGGTATGCATAAGTTAACCCAAATCCCCACAATTTTCCCTAGGAAAAACAACCATTTTCGAACCAACTGCTATCAAATTGTTGGTTCGTATAAATATTTTGGTGAAATAATCACTAAACAGAGTCAAATAAATTTTGTTGCATCAACACACTTAAGAAAATAAGTGATGGTTACAATTACCATATCGACGCATATGGTAGCTCCAAAAATGTATGTAAAAATTTACAGCTAAATGGACACACGGGAACATAAAGTTAGACAGTAAAATGCTTAAGCAACTAACTATTGGGAACACAAATATAGTTCAATTCAATATAGCAAGTCAAAAAAGGTATATTAAAGAGTTACACACAAGTGTATATGTGCGTATCAAACTCAGAATTAGACAGTTTGTGGTAGATATAATAAAGGAACAGCAGGGCCTTACTTTGCAGCTCTAAGGTACACTTTATAAAAGCTGGGATCTACAGCAGCAGCCATTATACAGTCACTGATCGCATCTCTCAATCTTCCAAGAGACATTCTTGTTGCTGCACGATTGCTATAGCAAAGCATCAAAGCCCTGAGACAGCTTCTAGACGACTCATCTCTTGAAATACAATTCACCCCTCGAGTGTAATGGTCTTCAGCCTTGGACAAATCACCACTTGCATATGCCTGGTTGCCCCTGTAACATGTTATGTAAACAAAAGAAAAAAAAAATCTTGAAGCTGGCAATATCGAGGTAAAAGATAATCACCTAACTGGAATGAAAAATTCCAAGCACAACACCTTAAGATGGTATCTTGACACAAAGAAAGTATAAAGGCGAGAAGAAAGTAGAAAAAAACCAACCTCAATCTCCACTTTTCACAAGCCTCCTGGGCAGCAACCGTTGCTGCTACAGTAGAAATAGACTCTTGCTTCATCTCCTGGCCTTTGTTCACCCAAGAGTCAACTCCATATTTGTACTGAGCAGTAGATGGATCTTCTTTCTGACTCCTTTGAGGTGTTATTGGTGATGAATTCCCAGAAAATGTACGAAATTGTGCAGAAGAGGATGACAATGGAACTTCAATAGAAATTGTTGGGGAAATATGAGAATCTTGACCAACTTTTCCCCAATTTTTCTTTTTGAATTGGCGTTTGGATGCAAATAATTGACCTTGAGCAGCCGTAGAGGCAGCAAATATAAAGTTAGACCTTGACGCATCCTCTGAGTTTGAAGCAAAACTAAATTGCTTCCTGCCATCACTATCCTGCATCTCAAATTTCGAACTTGAACTGGCTTCTGTTTCTTCTGAAATACCTGCTAGATCACTATTTATATCCAATTCATCATTTGCAGATTTGTAGCTTTCAGTGTCTGCCACTTCAACAGATTCTACAGGACCTTCAGCACTATGGTTTGTAGTAGAATGGTAAAGAGAACCTTCTTCGCCTTCCACGTCAGTTGCACTGTGACCAGGTTCATTTATATTTAAGCTATCTGTAGCATTAAGCAGATCTTCATCTATTACATCAGTTAAGACCTCCGGCAGTGATTCATCAAATGCAACAGAACTATTGTCAAGACTGAGTGATTCATTGGATGTCACAGAATTTTCACGAGAAATTGGATCACCAGCCAGTGTTTCCTGATATGGTGAAACATCCATTGGTGAACACGATTCTGACGCCTTCTGACTCTCCAAAGGATCCCTTTCCCTTGAAACATAGTCCTGAGTCTCCTGACCAACACACAACTGAACCACGGTCGGTTTATATCTTCCACTCCTAATATTTGGTCCAAATTCTCTAACTGGATCCTTCCGTGCAGAGAATTGAAAATTTTCACTGGCCCCAGCAGAGAAAATGTTTGTTTTTACATCTGGTGTTCTAAATCCTACAAAAGATGATCCAGTACTTTCTTGTTTAGTCATATAGCGAACGTTTTCTGTTTCTTTGTTTCTATTTGTACCCGTTACTTGAAAGGTACTACCAGCAGCATTAAATTGCATATCACTAGAAAAAATTGAAGAAGATGGCATAGCCACGCCATTTTTATCATTACCATCTTTTTGTGCATATGAAGGAACCTGACTACCTCTCATATCCTTACACTCGCGCAACTTCAGAGATTTAATGTCTGTAGCCAATGGTTGATCAAGATTCCTATCAAAATCACTTAAATTTTGCATTTCTATCTTCTCTGCAAATACTCCAGATGAGGGTGTCCTTTTATCTATTTTCAACTCCTCTATCTTTCTTGACAACAAAGTTTCCTTTTGCTCAACAAAATTACCACCAGTCCTTTGGGTGCTTTCAAAGACACATTTTTCTTCTTTCTGGGTGTTGACATTCGTTGAATTCAATGTGTCCTTAATGTTCAAATGCTTAATCTTCTCGGGCAGTGAATCTTCTGATCTTCCAACAGGAAAGCTTGTAACACCTTTACCCTTATCCAATACGAACATATTCACACCATCACCTTTAAATGTAGAACTGCCAATATCATGATTCCCACTATCTTCAATGTTCATATGCTGCAATTTGTTGGGGAGTTCTGATGCTAGAGAATTACTAACATTGCCACTCCAGAAACCGAACTTGGTCTGTTCATTTGATCTCAACCTCGAATTATCATTTCTAGTTCTGTTAATTCGTGCAGCACTACCTTGCCCACTACCTTCCCCTTCTTCAATGTTCAATTTTCTCATATCTCCAGGAAGCTTTGATTCAATGGTTTCAACTGCCATGGCTCCTTTATCTGATACCTCGGTTCTACTCGAACTCATACCTACATTAAAGCTGAATTTCCTGTCTCTGGCAGTCGCAAACTCATCCCCGCCTCCGATATCCAATTTCTTCATTTCGTCCACAATTCCTCTCTCCGGGTTCAAATTCGAGGTGCTCCTGTTTCCTCCAAACACAAATGGCTGATTCCCAATCTCACCCGACCCAGATTTACCGGAGATGGAGTCCTGAGCCCAGGGTGAGGCCTGAAATGAATTCCCGGTGAACGGCCGAAACGTTTCCGAAACACCCGCAGACCTCAAATCCTGGGAACTCGTTTGCCTTCTCACCTTCGCCATTCTCGGCTTCGTCAGACCCGACTTCGATCGGGGAACCGGTTGGGTAACGGAACTAAGTCTTGAATACCTACCGTAAGGATTCGAGGACTCAGAAGTATTATCGCGGAAACTCGATGAATTCATGTTGTATGGGGCAAGGTTTTGCGCAACTCAAATAAATTGGAGAATCATAAATCGGGAGTTGGAACTGGGTCTGGATGTCCTCCGGATTCACAGGTTTATAGATTGAGCCCGCCCATCAATGGCATCCCGATTGAAACCCAATGCAGAATCAACGATCATGGCAGATTCGACCCGAGTATGGGATTGAAACGGAAAGTGGCACCAGTATTTGAGGTCCTGGTTATTTCCTTGGGTCGGAAGGCAAAAACAAAAGGAAGAGAGAGAGATTTCTTGTGGGTTTTCAACAGTTTATCACATGGATGACTCTGAAAAATAAACTAATTGTCTTCCTTGGCTCTGTTTTTGATCTTCCAGAGGCGCTTTCAATATCATGTTTTGTGTTGCAGCTTCAATCCTCCCATTTGGGTTTCCTTCTTTTTCTTTTTTCTTTCAAATTTTCTTTTATTCCATTTTCATTTTCATTTTCATTTTCATATTATTGGATTTGGGAAGTTGGGTCCATCTCCTTCCTTGCCCTTATCACAATGATCAAATCAAATTTTTTAAAAAATAAAATTATTTTAAACACTTGCACAACACTCCCTCTGATATTATTCCATGATTACATTCAATTTTCATTGATTACATTTAATAAATCTTCTGAACAAGTATAAAATAAAGGTAAATGATTTAAATATGCTCACTTTAACATAGAATTAGACCATATATTATAATTAAAATTAGTCACGCTTGGGTCACATTATAATTTATTGCACATATTTCATTTTAAAGAGAACTATTGTACGGATATGTGATTGTTGAACTCTATACCACAATACAATTTTAGTTTAATCCTTAAATCGTGTAGTCACTTAGTTGTTAATTAATCGAGAATCAAGAATTGTCTCTCAACTCTAAGGTCTCCCAATTTAAGATTTTATGGGTAGTTTTGTTTTTAACATGATATTAAGAATTATACTATTAGGTCGAATTTTAAGAGTATATTGTATTGTAAATTATTGAAGGGGTGAAAAGTATATGTATATATACATGGCTATGTATAATAAGAGAACCCATATTCACAAGATTTTATATGTTTGAAAAGGATAACCATATGAATTATTAATGGTATTGAAAAGCACAATTTTGTTCTTATTGTGGTGTGGGGGCCAAAGTTAACATTAGAAAACAAAACACCATTTGGTATAAATATTAAGAGCTTGTGAATATTTTTATCCCAAAAAAAAAAAAAAGTTCTTACCAAAAAACACCGACTACAAAACAGAGATCTTTTTGAATTGTTAGTCGGTAGAATATGCAATGAAAAGAAACAAGACAAAGAGATGGACTGATAATCATACTCAGTGAAGATAATTAATTAAATAAAAATAAAACATGAGATAGTTAGAATGGCAGGAAGTGTAAACAAAATTTCACGGTGGTTAGAAAAGTAATTGATCAGTTTCATTTTTAAAAAAATAATGAGCGGTTAAACATTTAATAATATTAAAATAATAAATTGGTGGAGTAAATATTTTAATTATAAAAAATGGTTTAAGGTTCTCGAATATTTTAAAAAATGGTTTTATTTTTGGTAATATTTTTTAAAACCCCCAGAATTTGAAATATATATTCATATATAAACAGCACTGCGAATTTTGCTTTTTAAAAAGTCCAAATTAATCCCAAAATCTGGAGATGTCCAAATTTGGACAGGTCGGAGTTTGAATTAGAAAGCTGCCTAAAATGAGAGAATGTAAGGATTAAGGAAGCAAAGAGACAGAAATAATTAATTTTAAATATTTTTCTTTTGTTTTTTTAATAGAAGACAGAAATAATTAGTTTGGGATAATAATTAATTATTACAATCCAAGTCCTACCCCTAAGATTCCCCCGTTTGTTTGGCCAATCTTTCATTGTATTCCTTCCTCAACCTCTTGTATTCCTCACACAATCCCTTCAATACTTTAATTTCTTCCTCTCCGACTCTCTCCTTCTCCTTCTCCCTCTTCTCCAAATTAGCTTTCGTCCCCTCGATCTCTTTTTTCAGTTCGTTGATTCTCTCCGTCTTCTCCTCAAGTTCTTTTTGTAAGATTGTCAATTCCGACGTCATTGCAGTTGCATGCTCGAACTGATCTACACAAATAAAACTCGAAGCAATAGTGAACTACTGGATTGATGTATTTTCACAATTATTTTCTTAAATGTTTATTTTTTTATTTATCGATAAGAGTATGGCTCGAAAAATAAAACCAGAGAAATACCTGATATAGTGTTGGAAGTATTTGGATCCATTGCTTTAGTAGCTTGAGCATGAAAAAATGGTGAAAGTGATGGGTCAAAATTCTCTCTCATTTATAGCTAATTTTTTTAATAAGAAATTACCTAGCATTGCTTGAGTAGATAAATAGCAAAAATTACATATTAAAATTAGTAAAATGAAAACTGACTCCAAACAAAATTTGTGGGATATCTATGTTAGATTTATAATGAATAATTGTATCCATATCCAGGTTAACAAAATTAAATGATCTTCAATGTAAGGATAGGATTTTATCCTCAGAAAACAAAATAAAATAAGGATAGGATTTTAGCCGTCTTTTGAAATTTGCATTTTTTATTTAAAATATATTATTTTTGGGCTGGGCGCCCCAAAATGTTTTCGGATCACAGGCCCATAAACAATAATGGGCCGACATAATTCAAAAGTAGACTGGATATTAATCGAATCATAGGACGTCGATAAGAATATTCCTAGCCAGTTAAGATACATGTATCTGATCATGTGATTGAGAGTCTGAATTTTCACCCATACATTTTATATTAAAAAAGAATCTAATAAAAATATTCTAATAATAATAAAATCTCAAATATATGAACTTAATTTAATCGATTAAGACATACAGATATTCAAATTCTTAAAAAAAGAAAAATCACACAAAACAACCTATAAAACTAAAATCTTAAAATTAAGTTGGTTTATTATAATCTTTTAGTTTCTCCAAACTACTTTCAACAAAATAGATAAACTCTCGTAAAAAATGATTACATAGCTATATTCTATATTATTAGGTACATTTCAGAAACTTGAGTTCGTGTAAACTCATGAAATCAATTAGTAAATTTATAGCTTTCACTTATCAAATAGAAACGTGTAGTCTTATCTTACCACTTTACGCTACATAGAAACCTAATCAGAACTCAAATGCATTCGAAAATCGAGGGGTTTTGATTTGAAGTTGGAAGTAAATATCACATCGACGTAATTACAATGAGACCCGTAACAATATAGCAAGCGAAGAACAACAATTTTACCTTTTTCACCTTCTCTCTTGTAAGTCTCTCTATGGCGTTGTTGAATGTTGAGTTTGAATGTGAAGAGAGGGTGAGAATTAGCTTGTTAAATATGTAGTGAGAGAGAGAGAGAGAGAGAGAGAGAGAGAGAGAGAGTTTGTTGATGGGAAAGAAAATGAAGGGCCACGATTTTGGTACAAAGATATGTTGGGGCAATGGAAATGTATGTGTGCGTCAGATTTTGTCTTGTAGGGTATGAAATGTAGTACTGAATCGCACCCCCTGCAAACTGCATCACTATGTTTTTACTCTCTGGATTTGTTATATTTTTGGGCATGTAAGGCATCTCCAAATTTATCATCACTCCCCACTTTTCTTCTTCTTAATCCATAAATTGATATTTGTATTTTTCTAGGAACTTTACAAAATGTGCCAATTTAAAACATACAATAATATTTATTATTATTATTATTTTGCTACAATTATACGTGGGAGTGTGAGTATCTGACCTCAATACTTTTTTGTCAAGGATATATATCTTTATTTTGGTTGAATTATATTCAAGTTGGTTATTCCACTAGTTCTAAAAAAAAGTTGATTAAATGTATTTTCATCCACTGATATATCTATATGTTGATTAGATGTAGAGTCAATGATGCATTTGTGTGGGAACATATAACATTGCAGATGATGAGATGTAGAGTCAATGATGTAGTTGCGTCTGAAAATATAACATTGCAGATAACAGGAATGAACTGTTAGCTACGTGATAATTGACATATTTACATTTTTTTATTACACAGTTATTTATCAGTGTCTAGCGAACTGTGCTTAGGTTGATTACACAATTATTATTATTATAGTTATTCAGTTTATTGCCAAAGCGAGCATAAGTGGTAATTGACATATATCTTCATTATAATTTATATTATCGATAGACGTCTATCGTAATGAGTCGGTACACTTTTTTTTTTTTCAATCCATAACATTATTTCTCAATTAATTATATTTGTGTTGCCACATACAAGTGCTCCACATAATATTCTAAAGAAATTGTAGTCAATCAAAATTTTTATTTTATTATTATTATTTTAGTTTAACCATTGCAAGGGTTGAAGGTGTGAACATCAACCTCTTGAGATGGTATTATACTTTTTGCTTTTTATAATCGGGAGTAATATGTGTTTTACCATGGTATATATATATATATATATATATATTTCTCCCCAAAGGGGTAACTATAATTTTATAATATTTTACACACGATATGCCATATTTGCATTTGCGTGTAACGTTCCAAAAAAAACACATTATTGGAATACAAGTGAAGCAGAAAAGCCCATGGGCCCATGAAAATTCCACAAAACAGTGCAAGAGAGATTCCTTATATTATTCTTCCCTAAATAAAATAAAATAAATACCCAGTCACATCGGGAACATCGTCCAGAGTTCCAAACAAATCAAAAATCCAAAACTTAGGGAAAAAAAAGGTTGTTAAAATAAAATAAATTTAGTTCTTTTTTAATAATTTATACATTTATGATATTCTAGCATATGATTATTTAACCTGAAGTTTAGTTTTTTTTAATTATCATATTATAATTTAATGGTGGTCATTGACACCATCAATAAAATATTAATACGATTTATTAAAAAATAATATTAATTTGATATGTCTACCAATCTATCAAATTGTGTTAATATTAGCATAGTTGATTTTTTAGTATATTGATAATGGTAAGGTATCTTAATTAGTTGAAGTAGGCTCAGGTTGATACTTGTCCATCACATTGCGTTAACTCGTAATCTCTCTATTTTTTAATAAGAGATCGTTTGAATTTCATATTTATATTTGTGATGTTAAATGATGATCTAATATCGTATTTATATTTGTGATGTGATATGATGATATACATTATCTGAATGCTAATTTGGTTCATTTTAATCTCCAACTCTTCTAAAATGTTTATTTTGATTTATATATTTTCAGTTTTTGTTTATTTTAATTTATATATTTTTAAAACCTCCATCCTGATCTTCTACTTTTGGTAAAAGATTGTTTTAATCTCTATTTGTAAATTTTATATACAATAAAAATACGAATTTATAATTAAAAGAAAAATGGAAATGGCATTATGTATTTTGTACGAAGGGTGGAAAAGACATGGCGTGAGTGGCAGAATCAAGGGTGCCATTTTTTAATAATATTTTAATGCCGTTTTGGAGCAAACATATTTGGATTCGTTTTAAAGTTGGTGTTCGATTAGTTGTTATGTAGTATAAAGTTTATTGTCGTTTCGATGTTTGATTAACGTAATGATAAAATCACTAAACCGAACATAGTTCAAGTGGTTAAGACACATATCTCTTACTAAAAGGTTCATTCAATTTAATGAAATTGAAAATTTAAGGTCAAAATTGACACATATTATGAAGTTCAAAGATTGATTAAAATATATATTTTCCAATTATGCTTATATAAATTTGCCGCTCTTTGAAATTCTAAGATCCACAATTGCAAATAACTATTGGATGCAATTTAAAATTTGCATGACCATTAAAAATGATCATTAGATACAAATTCGAAAGACATTTTAATAATTTATCTCTCACCTATCAAACGGTATGAAAATATCAACCAAAATGAGATGATTCATATATTCAATAAATTATCTTTCTTAAAGAGCTTTGAATTTTACCTCTGGTATCTAAGCCATATTGAAATTTTACAAATATTTTGACAATCAAATATGGTTAATTTATATAAAAGAAAAGGTTGAGATTTGTTTAACACGCATGTAATTAACTGGTTCGTAAACATTTTTTTAGTACAATATGTATGAGAGAAGAAATTCGAACTCTCAGCTTTATATAGCGTGGATACAACTCAATTATGCTTCGATTTGCTGGTCCATATATATTCCGTTTGAACATTTGGGTAACTAAATTAAAAGCATTCTTGTCCTTTTTCTGTTCTAAAACTTCAGCACATGCATGTGCATGGGGTTGTGGGCAGCGATGATACCAACCAACCCAAAAACCCAGAACACACTCATATTTTTTAATCTTAATATTTTAAAATAGAAATTTGAAACTTAAATTACGGATTGTTCTCATGCTTTAGATACCATTTCAATTCGCTATAATTCAAAAATTTTCAATATGATCTATATGATTAATTTGGTAATATCTATCCATATAAGCATAGTTCAAGGGGTAAAATATATCGATCTATCTCTGGCGACTAGTTCAAATAAACACTCATACGTATGTTAAAAAAAAGGGTAATATCTTACAAATTTGGAAATTTGTAGACTAAATTAAAATAAATATCCTTGAGTTTTTCCTAAGTTTAAAAAACATCTCTATCATTTTAAAAATTTCAATATTGCTCCAAACTTTTTATAAACATTTCAAAAATAGAATTTGAGCAAACATCCGTTAATATTTTGAATGAAAAATATCGACGTGACAAAATTTGTAACGACATGGTGATTAATGTGAAAACTTGTTTGGATTAAATATGAAAGAAAGTGAAATTTAGAGAATGATCAATTTTAAAAGGGAGATTAGAGCAAAATTTTGTAGACAAGAACCAAAACTCTTAACTAAGAAGGAAAAATTCTTTCAGAGCAAATTGAGAGGTTAACTTTCATGTCATTCAAAGATTTTAAGTTCAAAATATTAATATACGTTTGTTAAAGATATTTTTAAAACATTTATAAATGGTCAACTACGATATTTTGAAAACATGAGTATTTTTTACTTAAAGTTTATAGGTAATTTTTTTTAATTTAACCAAATTATTATCTTAAAAAAAATTGATTCTCCGATCGAGGATCGTGAGTTAAAAAAAAAAAAGTAACTTTTTGAAATACCCCAAACGTGTGGGAAATCCACGGACCGACGATGCGCGTGTGACAATATAGGAATTGTGAATTTTTGGGAAGAAAATAATAAATATATAAATAGGCCTTTTTTAGGCTTTTGGACAGAGAGAGGGAAAGAGAAAGAGAGAGAATCCTCCATGGCTTCTTCTGCCATCTAAGTTCCAACGCCCACCTACTGCGCCCTACCGTCTGAAACTGAAATCTCCGCCGCCGGCGATCCACAGAGGGAGAGGGAGAGGGAGAGAGCTAAAACGCCATGGCTTTTGCCACTTTCACTAACCCTTCTCCTTTCTCTCTCTCCAACTTCAATCAGAATCGTTCATTTCACTCGTCGCCGCCGCATTTGCTTCGATTGCGAATCTCCGCTGCCCATGCTTTCACCTCCTCTTCTTCCAGCATCAATGCCAATGGTATCTTCCTCACTCGTCGATATGACCGATGTGATCTCAATAGCCGCCGACAGTTGTTTTTGGTGTCTTCTTCTGGTGGTGGTGGTGGCGCCGACGGCGGTAACTCTTCCTCGCACGGCGGCGGCGGAGGTGGCGGTGATGATCATGGTAATAAAGGTGATTCTGATAATGCTGGTGATAAGAACAGGGCGGATGCGCTTTTGGTGTTGGCCGAGGCTGGTCGGTCACTGGAATGCCTACCGAAAGACTTGGCGGCGGCGATCGAGGCCGGCCGAATCCCTGGATCGGTGGTCACGAAGTTCTTGGAGCTCCAGAAGTCTGCTCTCTTCCGATGGCTGATGCAGTTTGGTGGATTCAAGGAGCGGCTGTTGGCGGATGATTTGTTCCTAGCTAAGGTCGCGATGGAATGCGGCGTTGGGGTCTTCACCAAGGTTTTCTTCTTCACTCACTCTCATATTCCGGATCAGTAAATATGCCTCTTATCATTTATATGGATCTTATGACTTCTTTTATTGCATGGATCTTATGACTTCTTTTATTGCATTTCTTTTGTTCTTCACCTTCACTGATTTCCTAAGAAATCTTTTCCCCCAATTTTTTTTATTCTACATGTTCCATTTTGAATTGCAAGAAAATTTACTTATTGTGACCTTGAATTCATGATGGTTTAAGCCATTCAGTTGCTCGTCCAGGAAGGGAAGTTGGAATCTGTGATTAGCATCTTAACTATTTGATCTGACATTTTCGTACGGGTTTTCTACTTGTTATGCAAAATTTCGTCAGTTTCGCTGATGTATTTCCGTTTTGCATACATACCCATTAACTTATTGTAAATCTCTTTCCCTGCTTTCCTCTTCCTTACTTTCTTGCATTTAATTCTCGTAAATTATTTTTCAGACTGCTGCAGAGTATGAGCGCCGAAGGGAAAAGTTTTTTGACGAGCTCGAGATTGTTTTTGCTGACGTGGTATAACTCTGTTGATTAAAGGTCATCTCATCAGATTTTTATACGTTTCACTAGCGCATGTCTAAGTAATAACACTTGAGCACTGGTACGATCTTGCTTTAGATACACGTTAATCTGCTGTAAGATCCTTTCGTCCTGTTCCCTTTAATCAAAAGAGAGATTGTTTGGAGTGATGGTCACAGTGTGGTTATCACTTTCGAAATTGTTAGATGCACGAGACTTTGATACAAAAAAAAAAAAAAAAAAATCATCTCACATGCATCTAATAATTTGAAAAGTGGAAGCCTCATTGTGCCAACCATATTGAATTTGTTTGTGAGCAGAATCTAGAATCGTTAAAGGAGCTGATGATCCAAAAACTAAAATTGAGGTCAATGTCAGTCATGGCTAACAATTTGTGTTTGGATCCAAGCTGTTAAAGATAAGCAATTAATGCAAGTATCTGTCTATTGTGGTGCGGAGACGATGGTAACAGAAGACTGAAATGTTAGAGTAATTAGTTTGATGAAATTGAATGTTTGCAGATGTCTGTTAAATACTTTGGAAAATGCTCGATCTGGTATTTTGCTTTGACAAGTGGGAAGAATTAATATTTATGGTATTTACAGTTTTGATTTGTTCGATTGTAATTGTATTTTATTTCTTAAGTATTGAATATGCACTTGCTCTTTTTGTACATTTGTAATTGTATTTCTTTTAGGTAATGGCCATTATAGCAGATTTCATGCTTGTTTATCTTCCTGCTCCAACTGTTTCTCTCCGACCACCACTTTCAGTGAGTGCAGGAGCAATTACGAGGTTCTTCCACGGATGTCCTGATAATGCTTTTCAGGTCTGTCATTCTCATGGAATAATCGGATCTTTGCCAAACATTTATTTGAGCATTGTGAGAACTAAATTACTGTTCTGGACTCAAATTTTGTTGTAGGTTGCTCTGTCTGGAACTTCATATTCATTATTACAGAGATTTGGTTCAATAGCGGTATGTCAACTTTTGCTTAATTTTGTATCAATTTTATATATTTGGAGGACATGCCAGAATCCTCGATCAACATATGTTATATTTTCCGTGGATAATTTTGCAGCGTAATGGAGCCAAGCTTTTTGCAGTTGGCACCACTTCATCACTGGTACTTTGTTACATACTTCCTCTGGAAATTGTAAAATTCTTATGGTATTTTGTATAACATCATTCTCCAGTTATCTTTTATGACTTATTTTGCTGTTGAGAGTCATCCGTCATTCTAAATGAGAAAATATTCACTTGATCATTTTGCTGCCTGTCTCCATAAAAAATTTAAAGTTTGGCCTAGTGTCTCTTTGGCTTTTACTCATGGATTCTGTTTCTTATTTTCTGTTCACATTTGAGAAATTCTATCTAGGATGCCATTCTATCTGGCTGCCCACACTTCAAATGAATAGGTAGCCAGGCCCACTCCCCCTCTTTTTCTCAGTTTTTTTTGGCGTGTGTCAAATTAAACTAGTAATACAGTCCTTTGAAGTTTGGGAGTTTTGGCAGCAAAGTTTGAACAGTGAACCATGGAGTTTTATTGCCTGGCCTCTTGTTCTTTCTTTAAATTCGTATTATTTGCATTGCACCACTTTCTTGTAGTGACACTTAAATAAATTGCGTTAACTGTGACTCGTCTTAGCCCACTCGTCTTAGCCCATAGGTGAAAATATGAAAAGTTTTGCTTTATAGCCCCAACAGTAACCACTATGCCTCACTCTTGTTTCTTTAGCTGCTACCTACCTGTAACACCTGGGGTCTTTGCTGTTTGAATAAAAATGCAGAAACTAATTCACCCATCACCATGTCCCGTGTTTAGGTTGGCACAGCTGTTACAAATGCTTTAATCAATGCAAGGAAGGCTATTGATAAGGATGCTGCAGCTGAAGTGGAAAATGTGCCTATAGTTGCCACTAGTGTTGGCTATGGTGTCTATATGGCTGTCTCCAGCAACCTCAGGTATTGGTTTTTTTCAGTAGTTATAATTTGTTATCTATATGATGCATAATGGTGCTTCACATATTCTTCTTCAATTTCACGTTTGGGTTCTTTCCTTATCTTGTGTTATGACGTTATCCTTCTTGTACATCCTAAAAGGTATGTTATTTTTCTGCATCATAAATCATGATAACCATATGATATTATAGCGGACTATATTTTAGGAACAGCTGGAGAGCTATGTTTAGTGTGAATTTAGATAACGGGGTGGGCAGTGGGCTCACTAGTTCTAGCTGGGAAGAGGTAGGATGGAAGAAGTTGATCTTTCTATTGAGATTTTTAAGACCACCCGCGAGGGGAATTACAGTTTTTAATTAAACTACTATGGCTCCTTTCTGTTCGAAATAAATAAATTATTCACTTTGCACAAATATTATGCGCCAATGTTTTTTTCATGAGTAGAGACTTTGCACCTCTTGGACGAGATTTATATTCATTTGAGATGGCAAGTGTTATGCTTTATCTTGAAAAACTGTATTATATATACTAGAATGAAAGGATTTAACCAGAGTTTGAGAGCCTTAAGAAAAGGGAAAATAAGGAGTGAATGCTTTGATTGGACAATGTTTTAGTTAGGCCCGAATTGATATAACGGATTGTTTTCAGATGAAAAAAGGATGGTTACTTGGTAATTTCTGTAAACCATTGTGGAACTTGAAAATTCTTGCTTAATACTGCTCACTGATTTTTGTAAAAGATTGAACTGTTGGTCTTGTTCTGTTCTACCACGACGTCAAAAACTCCTCCATTTCAGAGGTTTTCTTATAAACGGATATTTTCGTTTTGTAGGTATCAAGTTCTGGCTGGTGTTATTGAACAGCGAATTTTGGAACCAATGTTACACCAGCACAAGGTTATGTTGAGTGCAATTTGCTTTGCTGTTAGGACAGGCAACACATTCCTTGGTTCACTCTTGTAAGATTTTCACCTCTCTGTGGAATTCAAAACGTGACTGCTTACAGTATTTTTTCATTTTTTCTCAATGAAAGTTGAGCGTAGTGATCACTTACCTTTCTCTCGTACAACTCAACTCACATTGTACAAACTTGGTATGCCAGGTGGGTGGACTATGCCCGTTTGATAGGAGTTCAATAGACCTCGACAGCGAGTGACCGAATGGACTCTGTCTTCTTTTTGTCTCTGCAAATCTCAAAAAGTGAACCTAATTCGCTAGGTTTGATTTAAGTTAAAATGAACAGGAGGAAGGTTCCAGTTTACAATTTAGTTGTTTAGCTCCGTTAGTCACAGTGAGATCAATCGTGACTTTTTCTTTTTTGGGTTTGATTTGATTATCTTTGACTTTCCGTTGTTTCTATCATTTTTCGTTCTTCTCTACCCCTATCTGTAAATTTTGAGGTGAGGTTGTGAAGTTTTCATTCTCTCCCTCGGGACAGAGTTTGTTATTGCAAGGAAATGTAGTAAACTTTGTTTCAAGTTAATAAGGCCTCCCACGAATACAGCTTTAAAGTAACATATCCATTACCTTTTTCCTGAGTTTAACCATTCACAGGGTGAAGATTGAACCATCCGCCATTGGATGGAATGGTAATAAGTGTCTTATCAACTTAAGATAAGTTGTGTTTGGATTGACATTTATTCATAATATTGTTGTGTTTGTGCTACTGTCATCATCACATTAATTTGTTGGGTTTGCCTTTTATCGTGAATTTCAATTCGGTAATCGTTAAAATTGAAATATTTCAACCCTCTTTTTTTTCCAAATGTATTTTAATTATTGATTAGACTACGTTTATGAGGCTCCTTGCTTGGCAGGACCAGAACCATTAGGTTTGCTGTTCGGGAGTAACAGTAAACCTAATGGTTTTTGCAATTTGTTAAAGAAAAATACTTCTCTCCACATACTTTTCATCATGTTTTTGTCACATTATAAACTATAAAAGCTTAAAAGGTGTCCAAGTCTGTGTTTCCTTTCCTATCAATGGAGTAAAAGTTTAAAAAGCTGTTTCTCCAATGGTTAGTATGAGAATGCAGTTGCTCCACTTCAATTGATTGGGGAGTTGAGTCCCTCTTGAGAAGACAATGAATGAAGAGGTTGTTGATGTCTCTTAGAAGGGAACTGTGGCAATCTAGACTTTCTTATAGCCACGGATTCCTCACCGATGCGTCGTAGAGTCTGCTTCGAGTAAATTGTTTGAAGAAAAGGTGAAACCTTCTCCTTCAACTTGAGGATCACAATAAAGAGGAGCCTGCAAGTGACCAGAATAATTATCACAGCAGCTAAATCCCACCATTTGGAGTGATGAGCTTGATATCCAAGCAACATTTCAAGGATCACTTCTCCTTTTATTTTAGGACCTCCTAGTGCATCAGAATCGAACTCCACCCCGGTCAAGTCGTTCTTGTATGCACCCTTCATTTGAAACGAACACAAATCTTAGACAGTTTTCTAATGGCGTTTTTGTTAACAGAAATTAGAAGTACCTGTAAACCCCAAGCACCATAGTTTATATATGATATTGGGTAGCGCCAGAACACCTTGGGAAGATCAGGCACAAACCTAAAGTAACCAGAAGTCATCATCATGATTCCCTGCACAAATCGCTTGTATTAAATCCCTGTTAAAATATATTGAAATTTCAAGTCAACTATCAAGTTAAGTCATTTCACTTGTTCGAAAATCTCGAACCACTCAGATTTGATGTTAGAAGGAACATGATGTAAAATTTTAGTTGTTAGCTATTGGACTATTTGGAAAGAGATGGAACTTTAAGAGATTTTGTTTATGAAAAAGAAGAGGTAATAACAATGGTTGATCTTACAATGTAACCAGCTCCAAGAATGACACCCATCAAAAAGTTGGGAACCAATGAAGCAATAATCATCATGATGCTTTCTACAACTGCAATGGAGCTGACAAAGTCAAGGCAGATGTAAACGTAACGAGAGAACTCAGTTTCAAATTTGACCATGTAGAACACTATAGTTGCAGAAGCAACAGACATGAGAGTTAAGAATGGGAATGAAGAAAGAAAATTTGACAATGTGTATACAGCAACCCCATAATGCCCGTTCAGCCTTTCCTTACGAAAAACCTGTTTTACAAAACATATATTCAAATATCAAAACCATGAAATTTTAGTGTCAGTTTCCTTTTTTTTAGCTAACAGTTCTTCAATCTAATGCTTTTGGCAGCAACAATTACAGTTTCCTCTATCAGCCAAATTAAATCAAGTGCTTCTTGTTCTACACAAGTCTCAATACTCCAACAGCTAACCGACTCTCTGCTAACTTTCATGCGTTTTTTCCCGCCCCCTCTTTCTCACATATGTAAAACGCAAGGGCAGCCTATTTAGCCTAACAGTTATTCACTATTTTATTTAGTGCCTGAGAGGCTAATTGACATTAGTGTTTCTACAGTTCATTCTATCTTATATGAGTGACTTAAGTATGGGGCAGTCAGTTATTAAATGTGTTGTATAAAATTATGTGAGTTCGGGAACTACTGTGCAGGCGAGTTAAAGACTATTGAAATGGTTGTGATATTTTGGCACTAAACATTGAGGGGAGGTAGCTACCTTCATCTCTTCAATGAATGATGGGAAGCCTCCAATGGACATGAAAGTCATAAATCCAGATACAAATGCTGCACAAGATCCTCTAGCAAATATATCAGCATAGCTTGTACCAACACTCATAAATATCGTGCCCACACATACGGATAAGAGTAGATAGATAATAATTCTTATCCAGTAATAGCCCAAATCTCTGGACATGTTCACCATTGATCTTCTAGTCAATGTTGAGAGTTGCTTCCACCATTTAGCACGGTTTCCATATTTCTTAGTTGTCATAGAAAGTCCTTCCTGCATCAAGAATCAAAACTACTACTTGTAAGCTTCGTGTTAAAATAATATCGGCCGTTTAAGAACCATTGCCTTGCATTATGCAAATCGAAATTGGAAAGTTAATATAACCCTGGCTTACCATGCCTGATAACTCTCTCATCCTAACTCTCACTTTGGCTTCATGCTCAGAGCATCTGTATTTCTCAACAAGTCTTGCTTTCATCTCTGCTGTTGAAAACTTTGATAAAGGGTCTGTTGGTTTTTGGTTTTCCTGAAGCATTAGAACCAGAAAACTGGAAAGTTTAACATATGGCAACAGAAAGCATAAAGAATCTTAGCGGTGACTGCGATTTTAAGCTTCCTAGATTTAAGTACCCATACGGTGATGTAATAACAAAGCAGCATTAGTGATGCGGTACTTTTGTTTTGTTGGATTGGACAAGGAAAAAAGAAAATTTGTATCTAGCTGTGGGAAATAAACAGGTTCATCAACTTATGGAAGTAGTTAGTATTTTGGATGCACATACTCTTTGAGAACTCATTAATGTCATATTGACTGCATCAAAATCTGAATTAATACAGCGAAGGAAGTGATCGGAAGGATTTCTTTGCCTTGGACATGGAAATCCTGCTTCTGCAAAGAACTGCAAAACCAAAAGAATATTTAGTCTCAGCATTCTTGGCGTGAGCTTTTCTCACTTGGATTGTGTTTGAAAGTGTTCTAAAACCTTGGAGTACGTTTTTCAACACTTTTCAATTGTTTCATAGTGTATGGCTACATGTTAATTTTGAGAAAATGATTTAACACTTGAAAGTTTTTTTTGGAAGAAGAAATTAGAGACAGATTGAACACAAATAAAAACTCAGATTAAGAGGCATACTTATGGAAACACATTTTCCATCAAGTTACTTCTATTTTTACCTCAGCTGCCATTTTTGACTCTCCAAAGTAAACAGCTTGGCCTCCTGAAAGTAGAAAAAGATCATCAAAGAGTGCAAAAACCTCGCTGCTGGGCTGATGGATCGAAGAGATAACAGTTCTTCCATCATGAGCAATGCATCTAAGGGCTTGAATAACAAAGAAAGCAGCGGCACTGTCGAGTCCACTAGTTGGTTCATCAAGGAACAAGAGGCTTGGTTTGGTGAGGATTTCCAATGCAATGCTTAGTCTTTTCTTCTCTCCTCCACTAATGCCTCTCAAATGCCAGTTTCCAACAATCCCATCTGCACAATCTTCGAGACCCATTTCCATTATTGTTTCTTCCACAATATCATTTGCTTCTTCTTTGGCCATAGAACTTGGAAGCCTCAAATTGGCTGAATATGCTATGGTTTCTCTAACTGTAAGAGTTCCCAGCAATGTATCCTCTTGGGTCACGTAAGCCTGAAATTTCGGAGGAAATCAGAACATAACAATTAACCATAAGAGTAGAAGATGATATCTTCACATAGTAATCATTTAGGCAAGAAATATGCACTCCCTGTTTGAAATAGGTTCCGAGTAAAATTGATAACCGAAAGCTCATATTTGATTGATGATCTACGTACTAATACTAACCACAAGTCCATAATCTAGCCTTCTTTTCTTTCCATTAAGAAGAATGCTTCCTGTCAAGACTGCATTTTTTGCCAGTCGACCTGCAGAAGCAAATTCAAAGAGAATAATCAGCAGTATGTTTCTCAGCTTAAGATTCAGTAATATCTCAAGGGCTGTTAATACCTGATTAGCATAGAACCAAAAATAAATCAGCTATGGCCTCCTAAATTATAATAAAAGTTACGTATAATATTTTATGGGTAAAGTATGGTATGGATACTCTCTAGTTACACCAAAAAGATTGTCTGAACCATTGCAGTGAATCATATACTTCTAGAAGTACGGGCCCACCCAGAAAGCCAATAGATAGATGACAAGTTAGGTTCAGACTTGAGAGATTTGACCCGAATCCCATTGTTTTTTTTCTATGCATTAAATGTCTGAAGCTCATCAGAAACATTTATTTCATTACTCAAATGAACCGAAGTGTATTCAATAAGTTACTCAAATTTTGGAAAAAGTAAGTAAATACGGGAATGAGACCTACTGCAAAGCAACAAAATTGGCAAATATTAATATGCATGTAAGGCCATGCAGCTTTAATTACCCACTGTGTAGGTTGATTTCTATTTGCAGACGAAATTCTAAGGTTTTTATTTATCTTTTAATTCCTAAGGAAGTTATAAATGTCTTCAGGATTTATATAGCTTTGTTGATTAACAATTTCTTTGTCTTGTAATCTATGTTTTAAAAACAGATTTAGATTCTTGACAAAAGGGTCAAGATTTGGTGGGGAAAAAAGTAACTCGTACAATTTTTTGGTTAAAAACTTAAAAGTGCATAAAAGTGTGAAAACCAAACCAAAAAATGATTATTAGTAACCTTACTTTTTGAGAACTAAACTGAAATTGTCATCAAATGGGTTTCTAGAGTGATTGAGAATGTTTCTTTTAGGGTATGTTGGTTCTAATAGAACAAAATCATTACTTGATAAATGAGTTATTCTTATTTTTAAATCATGACATAATTTCAAATCACACTTTTTTTTCTTAATAACGGGGAGTCAGAGTTTTGCTCCCCTATACCTAGGGGCACGTGTACCTACCCCAAAGTCTAGATCCGGGAGACATCCATGATTTTTTGTATTAAGCTCACCAAAAAATTCGAACTTGAGACATCTAAATCAATATGATCAAGAGAATCCAAGTCTCTGCCAACTTGGCTACCCCTTGGGGGTAAGTCACACACTGATTTGTGAGAAAAAAAGCTCACAGTTGTTTCTCCATGAGCAGAATTTGCAGAAGAGGAAGAACTTACTTTTTACATAAATTTAGAATCATTTCCAAGCTTCTTAATGCAGAAGAGGAAGAACTTGAAACCCAAAGAGCTTTCAGCTTAGAAAGAGAGAAAGAATAGAGAGAGAGAGAAAACCTGCTAATGAGTCAAGAAGAGTGGATTTTCCAGAACCAGAAGGACCCATAATGGCCATGATTCTGCCAGGCTCGGCATAGCCAGTGAGTCCATCAAGCAGCAGCCTCCTCTTTTGTCCATTCCAGAGGTTTGGAACCATAACACTGAGATTTTCCCAAACCAAATACATAGCAGAAGAAATGACAGCCTCCCCATACTTGCTTTGTCTTCTTCCTTCTGATCTCTCTGCAGCCTCCACAGAGCTTCTCCCATCTGCTCTCTCCTCCTCAATCTCCATGAATGTCTTTCACACTTTCCACACCCTCCTGGTCCTGGTTTTCAGCCAAACATACTTTCTGTTTCCCCCTTCATCTATACATAGCTAGCCAACAGCATTAATAGTGTGTTTACTGAAGTGCTTTTTCAATGTCCTAAAACTTTGAGTTTATGCTTGATGTTTGGCCATGTGTGTGGAAAGTGTTTGTTTGTGAATATTTTAGAAGCAGTTGAAAGTGCTTTAAAGTATCAATGAAGGAAACACTCTTAATTGGTATTTTCTTTTTTAAGACTTAAAATTTGTCATGAAAATTGTCCAGTGTTCGGCTACACAGGACCAAAAATGTATTTTTTGAAAATTTTAAAAATCATTGGATATGGGTCTCCTCCCTCTTTTGTATCACAGTTTCATATTATCAAGAAAATTTTAAAAAAATTCTTAAAAAGAAACACAACATTTTTTCTGCGATTACTTCGATTACAAAAATTATTCTTAAATATCATCTAGGACACACACTAAGTACACTAAATGTTTTATCTAAAGACATCACCCTCAAAAGCAATACCAAATGTACTCTCACTGAGTTGTTGTCAATAGTAGGTCTGTTGTACACGTAAAGAAAAAATATCAGAAAAAGGCAAGTCCAAACTGTTAAAGGCAAAAAATATGCATGTGCTATGCTTCAACATTGAATTCTCCAATAAAAGAGCACAACTTCTCAGAACCAGAGCCATAATTTGTTCTAAATAAATCACTACAAAATCATGTGAGTTATTTCCAGTGTGTATATGCTAACAATACATCCAACTGCATATAATTGATTTTGATTAAAAAAAAATCTAAATAATGGAGTTTTATTTTATCAACTAACATTTCAGGTTTTAAATGTTACACATCTCTCTTTTTTACTCCTCTGCTATCAATCAGAAAGAAAACTTGACAAAGCATTCAGTTCTGGCAAAATATGTATAAATTTAAACAGGAGAGAGATATGGAGAAAACATAAAAGTGAGATGTCGTGTGAAAGGTCTCTATCGGTTTTTATTCTCTCCTTTTCCATGGTTTTGATCGAATAATTCAAAGATTGAACCTAATTTTCAAGATGCCACCGTCTGTCTAACAAGTGGCAGTAGTGGGGGAGAGTTAATAGCAGGGGGACAAGTATTTAAAGATTCCAAGGTTCATTTTCATCTATGCAATGGATCGATGGCTTGGAGGGTTAGGAGTAGAAGTTGAAGAAGGAACAAATTTCAATAAATATAGCCACCAAACCCAACCATCAATGCCTAAAAAGGCACATTTCAAAATAAGGCTAAAATAGTGAAAGAGTCAGAAAAATTTATGGGATCAATTATGCACTTCTGCAGTTCTTCATCAAATCACTACTCATTATGTATTGCCCAAATGAATATCTACCACTTGCGATGCTCCATTTCTTTATTTTCAGAGCATTTGGAACCTGAAGTTTCAGGGAAGTCACAGCGGGAAGTCTTAATGTAATCCTTCCGTCTTCATGGTCCTGCTATGTTACAAAAAATCTGCAATAAGACGAAAAAACGATAAAGGAAAACACAGGAACTCATAGCAGGGCTTCTCGGATTAGGAATACATTGGAACACTGCAGTCCATATATATACATACATACAGATACAATACATCCCAAGAAAAACAAAATCCTAAACCCAAGACTATAGATGACCTCATCTTTTCTCACTTTAAATGTTGCACATGACTTTCTTGAATTAGGCTCTAAAGAAATTGGGTCATAGGTATTTAAGATACGAACTTTAAGAAATTTGATCTGCAGTGGCAGGCTGATTTTAAGAGTACTGGTGGATATTGCTTATAAAAGTAGAGATTCGTCCTGAGAACAAGACAGGAAATTAAGGTACTTCCTTCTTGAAGGATGCAGGGTTTTTTTCCCCAGTAGAAAGGGAAGATGCAGGGTTTTTTTCTCCACTTCTCTTTTCTTAGACGTGCTCAGATGCAGATTCCAATCCTATACATTGGTCAAATTATAATTTAGATAGGCAGAGGCAAGCTAATGCAGTAAAGATTGATGAAAACATAAAAAGAAAAGAGATGGATTATTTAAGTCAATCAATAAAAGAAAAATAAATTATTACAAAGTGTGGACAGTGTATATTGTATGAAATCAACCTTGAAGATGAAAGATGTCGAAACAAAACTTCTCAACGCCATACTGAAGAAATTTCAATGAAATATTTACTATATCCCTTTTTCCATTCCTTGACACATGGATCTGCAGCTAACTACATACCTCTAAGAAGTTACATTGTTATAGGTACAAGCTTTCCAAGTTGTTCTTGGTGCTTCTAGTGGAGAGGAGAGTTAAGACCTTCTTGGGAAGAGAGTGAGTGAAGAGGTTGGTGCCTCTTTGAGGAAACAGAAGGCATTTTCCTGAAGGAAGGCCTCCTCTGAAGATGTTGCAGAGTTTTCTTAGTGAACATTGTTCGCAACAATGGTGAAGCTCTCTCTTTGAGCTTCAAGACAAGAAAGAAGAGAATTCGGTACAGAAGAACAAGGAGCATGAGGGCTGTTAAGTCCCACCATTTGGAATGGCTTATTGGAATCCCGTACATGTTGGTGATTACATACTCACCACTCAACTTTGGCATTCCAGGTATCATTGGGTCGAACTCAAGCCCGATCAAGTCATTCTTGTAAGCACCCTACACAATGATTTTAAAATAACCAGTTAAATTGTGATTGAACCATCCAATTTTCGTCATGAAATGTAAGCTTATTGAAAGACCGAACAAACTTCCAAGTAATTCAGTTCTACATTCTCTTTTATGTAAGCCTTGAAAGATGATACCTGTAGTGCCCAAGAGCCATAACTGAGATATGAGATTGGATACCGCCAAAATGGCTTCGGAAGGTCAGGCAACAATCTGAAGAAGCCCGAGGTCATCATCATGATACCCTGAAGGGAAAAAAGAAAAAAAAAAATTGTTTACATTGAAGATGCAAAACATAAAATATGAAAAAGAAAATATCTAAACAACAAGGTTTATTGAGTTCTTACAATGATTCCAGCGCCTGTTATAATTCCCATCAGGAAGTTTGGAACCAATGAAGCCACAACCATCATCAACCCTTCTATTACAGAGATGCAGCCAAAAATATTAAGGCAGAAGAACATGTAGCGGGAGAACTCCGGCCGATATTTCACCATGAAAAAGGTGATAGTCCCAGAAACAATTGAAATTGAAACCAAGAATGGGAAAGAAGAGAGGAAGTTTGACAGTATAAACACAGTAACTCCATAGTACCCATTGAGCCTCTCTCTGTAAAACATCTGCAGAAGAATGAAACTAAAACTTCAAAAAAACTAAAAATAGTGCCAGGCCAAGCTTATGGAAACTCTTGAAAGAAAAACTCTCTTCCAATATCAGATGTTTTACCTTCATTTCCTCAATGAAAGATGGAAAGCCCCCTATAGTCATAAATGTCATAAAGCCAGTTATAAATCCACCACAGGCTCCTCGAGCCAAGATTGCAGTGTAACTGGTTCCAACATCAAAGTAGATTGTACCAACACATATGGAGACGATTACATAGATAATAATCCTTAGCCAATAATATCCCACGTCTCTACACATATTCACGAATGATCTACGGGTCAATGTCGAGAGCTGCGTCAACAAACTAGCACTGTCTCCTTTTTCTTTCTCAACGTCAAGTCCTTCCTGAAAAGAGTGAAACTGTTCATACAATCTGTTCCAAGAATCGTTTATTTACCTATGCAAGAAAATCAAAAAAATTGAACTTCCATGTACTTCAAGCTCCTATAACTTCTAATGAGGCGATATTATTATGGCTATTGGATTTCTAGAGGAATTGAGGTAACAGAACCATGCTTACAATGGTGGATATTTCTCGAATTCTGGCCTTCACCCTACTTGCATACTTTGAGCTCCTATATTTTTCAACAAGCATTGACTTTATTTCAGCTGTTGCCAAATTCATGAAAGGGTCTGATGATTCTGGGATGTCCTGCAAATTCAAAGTGGTCAAAAAGAGGCACAAATGAATGAACCATATATCAGAAAATGGAAATTCAAATATTCGATCCACCAGAGGTTTTGTTGAACTTGGTTACTATTCAAAACAACTTCTTACTCGAATTCTTTGAGACCCCTTGAGAGTTGCCGTAACAATGTCGAAATCCGAATTTATACATCGAAGGAAGTGATCAGATGGGTTCCTTCTACTTGGGCATGGAAAATTAGCTTCGGCAAAGAACTAGGAAACAGATAACCAACAACCCAGAAGAACAAGTGAGCAAAAGATCAAAAAGTTAGAAGCTGAAAAACGAAAACCCACAGTCTCCAAACTTAAACCTCGAACCCCATACCTGTACAGCCATTTTCGCTTCCCCAAAGTAAACAGCCTCGCCTCCAGAGAGCAAAAAAAGGTCATCAAATAGAGCAAAAACCTCACTACTCGGCTGGTGAATGGAAGAAACAACAGTCCGGCCATCACGAGCGACATTTCTAAGAGTTTGAATCACGAAGAAAGCCGAGGCACTGTCGAGGCCACTGGTGGGTTCGTCGAGAAAGAGCAAACTAGGGCGAGTGAGAATTTCCACTGCAATACTCAATCTCTTCTTCTCCCCACCACTAATTCCTCGGAGATGCCAGTTACCAATCAATCGATCGGCGCAATCTTGAAGACCCATTTCCAAAATGGTCGCCTCGACGATGCTATTGACCTCATCTCTGGTCATAGAACTCGGAAGCCTCAGCTGGGCTGAGTAGCTTATGGTTTCTCTCACCGTTAGAGTTCCCAGTAATATATCTTCCTGGGTAACATAGGCCTGCAAATTTGAAGTATATTTCCATTTTCTACGTTAATATATACATGTGTATCTTCAAGGTAGCCATTAGAAACAGAGGGAGAGTACTTACGACGTCGCCATGTCCAAGCTTCCTCTTCTTTCCATTGAGAAAGACATTCCCAGTCATTACCACATTCTTGGAGAGTCTGCCTGTTTAATCATACACATTACACCCACAATTTCTCAGTACATTTTTTATCCAATTTGAATCAGAGTATTCATGTTATGCAACTTTAATTGATAATTAGTTTGCAGTCTCCTACATGTAATCTACAAAATTGATGTTTCGAAGGTGAGTAGAGTTACTTCTATTTGATTCTATTCATTGATCTAATATTTCATCTTTCATTTTTCTTTTTACATACTCGTTCATCTAATGCCAATTCAACGTGCTGAGATTGACAATACTGTAATTCCTCCTATTATTATACAATTAAGAAAAACTAAAAGAAAATAAAAAAGGAATTAACTATATGAACAGTGCATATGGTTATAAAATCACAGATGTAACTTCTGGTTTATGTTTCTCTAGCGAGATTTATGTTATTTTTGTAAAATTTTAGATCTAAAATTATATATATAAAAACATATACTTTTTTTTTTGTTGCTATTTTTGTGATTCCTTACAAAAATTTTAAATGATATTACGACTATGTTTGAAAATAATAAGAAATAAAATGGATATTTATTTGGCTAAAAATCCTTAAATTTTGATGTTCAATTGAAATTTGGGTTCAAAACAACACTGGTAAAATTCGACCCAATAAACCTAAAATTGAGGCATAACATCCGAATTAAATAAAATCTTCAAGAATAGTTGGTCTGATTCTTAATATTATTACAGTCAATTTTGTAGTTGGTTAAAAATTGAACCAAGCTAAATTGTACGTGAGTATTCCTAAATTTCATCAATTATTTAATTTTAAAATTGAGCATCAAATTTGGTTCTCCCAACTTAACTTAGATCTAGCTAAACTATTTTAAAAAACCAGAGGTTCGAGTTTGTAAAAAGATGGTAAATTTGGTTCCACATTTTTACAATTTAGGTATGTAGCATGATTAAAAAAAATACAGAAGTTTGAGTTTGTAATACAATTTAATATATATAGCGAGAAATTATAAATTACATTAAATGCTGACTGTTGACTGTCAAAATCATTCAATTTTGGTGGGTGGGGCCGTAACAACTCCAAAAAGACTACCCTAAGAGAAAATTAAGTCTCTAAAAGTTAAAAATTATTGGGCAGAGAAATAATAAATACCCAACCAACAACAACAACCAGAGGATGAAGAAATAAGTCCCACTTATTAACAGAAGCATATAGACCAATCCCCGGTTAGAATATCTTATCATCACATCCAAACAATCTCTAGAATACAACCCAATACCCATGCATTCTCAACAATCCTGATTTAGATATCCAAAATTTCAAGTTCATATTTATTTTGGAGAAATTTTGTAGGCATGCAATATATGAATTATGAAGAGTTAGAGGGACGAATTAGAAAGAAAATTAATGAGGAGGGGTAGGAATATAAAATAATTTTGTAGAGGGACTGGCCTGCGAGAGTGTCAAGAAGGGTGGATTTGCCGGAGCCGGAAGGGCCCATGATGGCCATGATGCGGCCGGGCTCGGCGTAGCCGCGGAGGCCGTTGAGGAGTCTCTTGGTGGGGCCATCTCGGAAATTGGGGAGAACCACCGTGAGATCCTCCCACACCAGGTAAGTCCCTCGCCTGAGAGCTTCTTCGCCGCCGTGGCCATGGCTTCCTCCGGCGGCCTCTATTTCTTCCATGAGAGTGGAGGCTGTGTGTGAGAGATAAAAGCGCCAGAGCAGAGGAAAGTAAGAAGGAGAAGATAGAGGAGAGGAGGGGATGGAATTTTGGAATTTTGAATTCACATTTTTATTATTATTATTATGTAGAATTGGATGGGTTTATGAATTGGGGACTGTTTGAATTCACAGTTCACACCCAACTACAACTACAACTACATACAACTACAAGTAGAGTGTAGTATTAATGCTACCACGAATGGAGGTGCACACCAAATTAATGATGAGAGAGAAAATAGGTTTATAAGTGTCATGTGAGATTGGATGGTGAGTTGGGATATTAAATGAACCTCATATATATATATATATATCTTTGATTTTTTTTCTTTTTATATTCATGAATGTCGAGTCAGTTTACATGTACTTCTCGATTAGTCTCACAAAGCGATCATTCGATTGTACTATTATTTGATGTTGAAAAATAAATAGGTATTAATTCATGTCTAAGGTAGGTGGTTATCATGAGGTTTGAACTAATTACTTTGGTTTGTATCTTAATCTATTTGGACAATTCGTGATTAACTCGATAAATTTAAGTTTTCTTTTTGGATTGATTAGGTTTCGTATGTATAAGGGAATGTGTGAGATATGTGAATGTGATGGTTTCCATCTATCACTGGAGAGAAAAAGAAAATGAAGGGAAAAAGGAAAAACCCTTAGCTAATTATTACAAAAAGAGAGTAAACATTGTTTTAGGTTAAGCTACAAATTTAGTTTTCCAACTTTTTGATTAGTGCCTATGGTCCTCAAACCCTCGATTTTATGTATAAATGAGTATAAACTTTGAAAATGTCTTGTGAATGATAAATCCATTACCTTTTAATTCAACGACTTGAATTTTGTCATAGTATGGGTTTGGGTTTGATTTATTTTTAAATTTAACTTAATTGGTGGGATTGTAAATTTATTTAACTCAAACAACCTTTATTAAATAGTAAAGTCAATCCAACCAAACATGAAATGATGTACGTTGTTCGTGTCACTTATTCAGAATATTGTATAACAAATAAAAATAATTGTTAATATCTTAAATATTTATCAACGTATTTTTTTTAATATTGAATCAAGATCCATAAGTCAATATTTATTTATATGGTGAAAAATTACAAAAAGTAATAATAGTTTTGACTGAATCCAAATTTATTTCATATGAATCATTGAACAACTCAACTCATATAGTTTTCATTTATTTGAGACCAACACAACCCAAACCGCATGAGTTGGATTAGGTTGTTCGGATTTTTTAGATCATCCAATTTTTTGAACACTATCTTATAGAATTATTCTGACATTTCATTTTTGTGTGTCTAATAATTTCGTAAATTTTAAAATGTATTAAATAGGACTGACCTGTTACACAGAAATTAAAAATTTAGAGATTTATTGAATTATTTTTTAAGTTCATAAATCTATTAGATACAATTTTATTCATGGGGTTCTATTATATGCCCCTCAATATCATAGTTCTGTTGGCTTATTGATCTTGGCCGAATCCCATTTTTGGATCGGATACTCATTTGAGCTCAATAGTCTATGATAGCATATTAATATTCATGGGGTTCGATCTCAAAATCAATTGGCAATGAGAAAAGTAGCTCATGTCTATTATAAATCATTGTTTTTCAATGTGGGATTCTTAATATTGTTGTTGTTCGATATTTTTTGGTATTATATTGAAAGATTTTTTAAAAATCATTCTAACAAATAATAAGGTGCGGAACATACTCAATTGATTAAAGTATATATTTTCGATTAAAAGGTCATGAATTAAAATATTTACTTCGTACTTAATTTTATACCCAACAAAAATGTTCTAAGTCCCAATTTCTAAGTACTCAAAAAAGAAAAGTCGAATTTCCAGTGTTTCAAAAACATTTTTCAAGTTTTCCCAATACTTTAGAAAATATTTGTGGAAGAAAAGAATAAGCACAACACGTCGAATATCAATTTTGTTTGTTTGTTTTGTTTTGTTTTGTTTTTTTTTAATGAAGCTTGTTAAAATTACGTATGTTATTTTTCTCAAAATTTTTCTTCTTTGAAATATCAGTCAAACTTAAAAAATAATTAAAAGGCACAAAGTAGGTTTTGAATATCTGTTAAGTTTTCAATTTTGGTTTGTAGTTAGAAGATATTTTTTAAACTAGAGAAAATGTTCGGGGTAATTACAGTGAATAGCAAAAATATTTTATGTATTTCAAAAAATGTCACCAGCTTTTCAAAATTTCAAATATAGTAAAATATTTGAATTTTTATTTTCGGAATTTTTATTATTTCAATTTTACCTTGATGATATCTGATATATATTTGATGTATTTCATACATCAAATCTTTATCTGATATATATCCGATGTAAATTTGTATATGATATATATCAAATCTATATCTAATGTACATCCGATATAACTCTAATATACTTCCGATATACAATGTACCCCTAATATACAGTATCAGATGTATCCATGATATACATTATCAAATATACCACTGATATACAACAAATATATATATATATATATATATATATATATATATATATATAATTAGATACTAAATATAAGAGATATTTAAATTTATAAACTTGCCTTTTTGGACGTTCATGGTCCATTTAAAGTTTTTATATAATAACTTTATATTTCAAAAATAAAAAATAAAAAATTTTGCACAATTGTTTTCATCAGAAAAAAAATATTGGATATAATAGTATTATATCAACCCATGTATCATAATTATATTAGTAGATATAATGATTATATAAGAGGTATATAAGTGATAAATTAGAAGCATATTAAGTATATATCAAATATATATCAGTGTTATATTAGTGGTAAATCATATAAAAAGTTATATCAGTAGATATCATAGTTATATCATTGGTATATCATTTGTATATCAATGGTAAATTAGATACATATCACATATATATGTGTTGTATCATAGTAAATCAATTGTTATCATACGTATATCAGTGGTAAGACATGTTAGAAGTTGAGTAGATACCATGATTATACCAGAAGTAAATCAATTGTATATCATTATTATATCAGTGATATATATCAGTGGTCAGATATATTACAGATATATATCAGATATATTAAATGGTGAATTTGTAATTTTATAATTGGACCTCCGTTTTTTTGAAAAAAATACTATATTTGAAAAAATTAAATGTGATTGCTATTTTATTTATTTTACTAAAATTTTTTTGCCATATTTGCAAGTGCCCAAAATGTGCTTTTTTTTTTGGAAGAAATGCAAAAATAAAATAAAAATGTTATCAAACAACAACACTACTTTTGCTTTTTAATTTTTTTTATTTTAAAAAATACTTTTGAAACAAGATTACAGTATTTCTCAAAAATAAATAAAAATAAATAAAAGTCAAATAAAAATGATTTTTACAAATTTCCAAATTAGCTCGAATATAAATTTCAAATTATCAAACGATGGATTGCATGTATCACTATCATAAATAGTCAAACATCACAGACAGATAAAAATCTTTTTTAATAATTTACTTTCAAACTACCTAAGTGAGTTATATGTATAATTAGTCTTCTCTGAATTTTTGTTGGCTTTCTCATTATCCCTTCTGGCTTTTTCAAGAAAGCTAGAAAGGAGGCCGATGTCACGGTTGCCCAATCGGATTTAAGCTATCATTAATGAAGTTTTATTTTATAAAAAAAATGAAAAAAATAACTTCGCTATGAATTATGCTATTTTAAAAAATTTGGACGTTCTACCTAATTTAAAAATACATATTAATTATTATCTTTGATATATATATATAATTTTTTATTTTGAGATTAACCATGAAGATATTTATAATATTATATTATATAAGAATAGCTGTTGAAGATGGGAGGCAATATCTTATTAACAGTGGAATTAAATTAAAGTGACAATTTTCTTTTGAAGAATAATTAAAGTGACAATTGAAAATGGGGTATTAATGTGTTTGACAATAATTTAAACCAGCCAACCATATAAACATTTATTATTCGATTTTTTTTTTAAAAGACACAGTATAGAAATTATTTTTCTAGGGGCAGCCAATGTGTGGAAAATGTAGAAGCCACGTAGCCAAACGAAAGAGGAAAAAAAAACTCAAGAAAATATGATGGCTAGTTTAGCCCCATTTATACTTCTATAATATTATTTATTAAATATTTTTAAAATCAAAATCCAAAATCATAAATAAAAATCACGAATATACTCCTTTCAAAACAGTTAATAAAAACAAAAAAAAAAATAAAGTATTAAGAAATTTCTCAAATTTAAAATAAGTCCGATTCAATCGCCTAAAATAAATTTTCAATAAATTTGATTTATTCCTACTCTTAATTCATCTACCTATATCACTCAATTTTATTTCTAGATAATTTTAGTTACATTGCAATATGATTCGAACCAATTTTAAATTGAAACATAAATTTTATTCATCTCTAAAATTTACAAATGAGAACAATATTTGAAAATACTTCAAAATAAAATACAATTCTAACATTTTACTTTTGAAACAATTTGTATTATTTCAAAAGATTTCCACTCCTCTCTCTTTCATTAATTAGTAATGCAATTAGGCAAGCCCCTACTAACTACTTACTACTACTGACTACTGACTATTGACTACGATAGGTTGGCTAGTTTACTTTCCTCCTGTGATATAATTAGTGATATAATTAGAAAATCAAACGTTCAAAATATCTTTATTTCATAGTTTAAGATTATTTTACTTTAGCCAAATGGGTAACAGGTATGTTAAAAATACTTCATTTGAATTATTATTACATCATGTCATTTGAAAAAAAATATATAATTTAGATTAAATTTGAAATAAATTTTCTATTTGAATTATGATTTGTGATTATATTAGTATAAATAGATTATTAGATTTTATTCAAAATGTATAAATTTTATGAATTTCTAGTTGTTTATGTTTTATCTCATCCACCCACAATATTTTTGGTTGAAATAATGGTTTAGTTTATGTACTTTTTTAATTTGTAATGATTTAGTTTCTAAACTTTAATATGTAACAGTTTAATATTTAAAATACATAATTATTTTAAATTATACAATGAAAAATCATGTGAGGTGAAGTATTGACGATGTTTATTACGTAATAATTTCATCCCTGTGGTCTTTTCTTCTTGAGACAATGTTTAAACACGTGTATTCTTAAGTGACGAGGTAAGTAAGAAACTTCATTGAACCGTAACAAAATTTACATGGTACATACTAAATTATTACAAAATGTAAATTATATGGACCAAATTATAACTTATCATTAAATACTAGAATTCAAGGACTAAATTATTAGTTCAAGGGAGGAAAGTGAAAAGTGTTTTTTTAACCTAAATAATACATATTTATTTATTTTTACATAATTAGATAGAAGAATATATTGGCCCGGGACCCAGTGGCGGGACGTGTGGTACATTGATGGGCCGTTATTGGGCTTTTGAAACATCCTATTGGTGGGCCCAATTAGGTTTAATCTGGGCCCAGCATCTGTAAATCCTGCGTCTTTCTCCCCAGCAATCTCATTCAACGCTCCGTCAATTCGCTGTTCGATCTTCTTGAATTTGGTTGGGATGAGTTTGTTCAGATTGTTCGTTTCCCGCCAAGATGCGGTGAATTGGTGGCATGGATTCTCGTTCGTGGTCGTCAGCTTCGTTTTCCTTCTGGTTTTTCTCTATGCGGCGCTCGTTTCCAAGCTTCTTCCACCTTCTGGCAATATCTTCTTATCTGCTGTTCAGAACGACTGGTAACTTTTCTTAAACTTCTTCCTCTGGAAAATTTGTTTGTTCGTGTTGCTTGGATCTTGAGACGTTTACATTTTACTGAAACCGAAGAATGAAATTTCTTGGTTTGATCGAAGAGGGAGAAGGAGATTCACTTTTCGTACGGAAGTTGGAAGGAATCAAGTACCGTACGTAGCTGCTGAGAGAGAGGGGAGATGCTTTTTATCTCCATTACAAAGTCTCTGTTTCTTCTCCAGGAATATTTACTTGAAACTTTCGTGGATTTTGTTGTATTTTATGGTTTCCTTGAGGTTATAGTATTTCCCTACGGACTCAAGACGTTGAGATAGGAAACTTCTTTCTTTTTGTCTCTTAGTTTTCTTTATCTACCTTAGGAGAAAATCTCTAACTATGATTCAGCTTAAACTTCGAAGGCGACTTTGAAACTGTAGCGTACTTGTTCTCCGTTTATATCACAAATCGTGTTTATACAGTGCCATGAGCATAGAAAAACAAGGATCAGAAAACACTCTGGTGAAGCCGTTTGTTAAATAGGAAATATAGAATATTAGAATTATAGAATTTTGAGAATCAAAGCCAGGAAAGAAATATAGCCTCACAACTTGTGATAATCACTTCTAGATGTTGTGGGCATTATGTTGGAGCTGGCTAATCGAGATATCTCTCGGTTTTGATATTCAAACAGCAATTATATTATTGTCCAGGAAAGAACGTCGACTTCTTTAGACATCCGTAGTGCTCACATCCATACCAGGAAATTTCGATGTGTAAATCCGCATGCTTGTACGCTTTTGCAGCAAATCATACCCTTGATCAGGGGACAATTTTATGTATATTGATTTAGTGATTTTGCTTTTGATCTCTTGAAAAGAATTGGTTGCCAAAGCCAAAACTATCACAACTTGAAGGAAACGAATGTGATTTATTGTTTCTCTCCCTACCATTGATTAACAATTGATCAATAAGTAGCTCTAGTGATTTTGCATTTGATCTCTTGAAAATAACCTCTATTTGTAATGCATTTGCTCTTCTTTGTTAGGTACTACTGTCTCCTGGTGCCCTTGACATTACCTATCCTTTATGTTGCCGTTTATTTCCATTGGCTAAGCATGAAACTTTTCAAGCATGCTTAATCATGTGAAGATGCAATTATGTTTAGGTTGTGACTCCTGAGGTGATTTATTGGAGGCTTGGAGGCATATATGATGATCACACCGAATGAATTCCCCATCGACAAGACTACGAACCGTTTTTAGTCCATCGGAAATTCTTTCATTGTGGTTAGATGAGGACACGAGGCATTCCAACTAAAGCTGAAAGCCAAGAGTGATCTAAATTCACACTGCCTAAGCACAGGCTCCATAACCCAAGGTAAGTATCTCCAAAGCCAAGCTTTGGCAACCAACTTAGGCTTGTGGTTGGTATGGACAATCTTGAATCTTGAACATTGTTCGTATGATTTTTTATTAATTAAATATTATATAAACAAGCCAACAATATAGACCATGATGAGGAGTCAAGATATACTATTGTTCATTTCTTATTGTAATTTCAAACCTTCAGTACCAGCTCTCTCACTTTAAACTTCGATAATTGAGAATCGTTCGATTGCATCGACTCAATTTCACACAAGATAATTCTTCTCACATTTCTCGAATTATAGTGCCTTGAAGTAGCCGTTATACAGTACTCAAATGTCAAATATAACTTATTACGACAAGGTAACAGTACTATTTTCAGTTAGATAGATCGCAAAGAAGAAATTTTACTACTACCACCGTAACAGAAAATCACAAGGCTTTCCCAGAGATTGAGATTATTGGCTTCTGATAACAATAAGCATTGAGTGATTTCAGGAAACTCAGAAGCTGACAAATTTCTTTTCCTTCAAGCTCTCAACGGTTTCCTTCAGACTCTCCTCTAGAGGAATGAATTCAATGCCTAAGCTCTTTGCTTTCTCCATCGAGACCTGGTACGTCGGTATAAACGGTTTATCATCTGCACACCTGCAGTTGAAAGTGTAGTACTGATTAACTAGACTTGTCGTCGAAACCGAGTATGAATATGACAGATAACACCTATAATGATCACGGCTTCAAGAGGATTGAGGTGCAGATTAATTGTACCAACTACAGCAATATGAAATCTTTGTAGATCAAAGATTTATGAAACCTTGATGCTCTTTCATGCAAGAATAAAAAATATGATAAAGTTCTGGTCATGAAATTTCAGAGCCTCAGAATATGGTTCAGCCAAAAGAAAGAGCATGACGCACTTTATGAAATTAGTTTTCTATTTGTTCTCATTCGCTAAATTGTAGAATCTTCCACCAACCTTTGTCCGATTTACCAAAAATGTTCGATTGATTCTCTTATAAAGAAACTTAGGGATAAATGCTAGGAATCAAAGCCAAGGAAGCTACAAAGAAGCAAGTTTGCAGATGAAATAATTTAAGATACTATTCTTGTCGGGAAAGCCATTTAAAAATAAATAAAGTTCTTCGGAGGGTAGGTGTGGATCAGGAAAACTTACTTATCTGGAAGTTTTAATGAAGGGTAGAGATCACGTAAAATCTTCACAGTTCCTGAATAGTGAATAACTCTCTCAACCAAACAGTATCTTCCACTAGCTGATGGAATCTCATAGGCTTGAATGTGTGCATTAGCAACATCTTTGACATTAACCCATCCGAATGTGGAATTTGGAAATGTTTGTGCTCCTGCATTAGATTAAAACCACAAGGTTATAGATTTATCATACTCGGAAAGATCTTGTGAAGAATTCTGATGCAATGTATAGTTCATTGTTACTAAGCACTTAAAACAGTTTGATGAAAGGAAAGAGGAAACGCGTTAAGCATAACCCCAGATAACCGAACAAATACCAGATATTAAGTTCAAAATAGCTTCAGCACTAGTATTCAGAGTCGGCTGCAATAATGGACCGATAACCATAGCAGGGTTTATGGTAACCATGTCAATTCCCTTCTCTCTTACAAAATTCCAGGCTGCCTCCTCAGCTAAAGTTTTGGAGAGCACGTACCAAAGCTGAAACCCATAAGGAAATAAGAGGAAAGGATTTATATTTAGCTTCTGAAACACTGAGGCAACTGTAATACAGAAATATGATAGGAAACAAGGACAAACTTTGACATATGGTGTGACTTCCATGTTTGATTATTTAATTGAAATCGGGATATAGGTGAGGGAAAAAAAAATGATGAGAGCTCTTTCTTTCTCAATTCTGTTGAGAAACTTGTGGAGCATATCAAGGGAAAGAGGAGCACAAAATGACAGACATCCAATCCAGAGAAAGAAGACATTAAAAAAAAATCCATACAATATTATTAACAATAAGAACCTCTTTGATACCATAACTCAGCGAGCTCTAGGAAATTGAGAATGCAAATTGAAGTTAGAATTATGTGTATGCATCGGTTTTTTATCGGGGTACCACATGACAAGGTACGATAGCCAGTGGAGTCATGCTCACAAGTACTCTTTTATTTTTCCTCTGTTTTTTGCCTTCTTACCAAGGATGGTGGGAGTATGAAAAATGAATGAAATGGATACCTTCAATTCCTTGCAAACCTCCGGACTAGAAAACCAAGTCTCATCAACTACAACATCGGGAGTACGAGGCTTTTCGTTATAAGCAACAGCAGCAATTGAAGATGTCAAGACAACCCGCTTGACAGTTGATGATTTTGCAACTGACTTAAGAACATTCAGTGTTCCTTTCAATGCAGGATCAATAAGTTCAGCCTGAAAAAAAGAATCTTATTAAAAGGCCAACGTATCCCCTTTACCATGGAAGATTTCAGGGTTACTAAGGAGCAGCTCGACCAGCATATACTTCTTACTTGTTCCATGAATTAAAAACGAAATTTCAATTGTTTCATGCTATAAGATATTTGCAGAAATGGAAAGAAAGAACACCTGTGTAGTGAAAAAGAAGACAAAAGATAGAAATAAATAGAAGTGAATAAGACAACAACTCCTAGAGTCTTCTTTCTTCTGCTTCTATAACGAGTAAAAGCTAATCTGAGGGAATTATTGTTCTTCCATAAGTTGATTATTCTTATTACGCGACATCCACAATTCTTCAGAAACTAGTTTCATTAACATAATACTTCCAGAGACATATATGACACACAATACAAAACTCTGAATCTTCTAGGCTCAATCCATACATACTTTGCAGTGGACAAACCTGTGGATCTGAAACAGAATGGAAGAAGGGAGAAGCTGTATGAAAAACCCCTTCGCAGCCCTGAACAGCAGAATCAAATGAACCTTCCTCTAGGAGATTGGCTTTAAACAGATGAAGCCTCTCAGCCGCTCCATCGAGTGCAAGCAAATGTGCAGTTTTAATCGGATCGCCTACGGGACAGAAAGGCAAACCGATCATCAAACAAGTCGCCAAAAACTAGGAAACATGAAATAGGCAGCAGGATTTGTGGGGAAACAGAATATTGTGAAGTAAATTTGTGATGCATTTGATGGAGGAAGCGGAAGAAGAAAAATGAGAGACAAACTCGGATCTCGGACGCTGGCTTTGACGGTGTAACCCCGCCGGAGAAGGAACTTGACAATCCAAGAAGCGATGTATCCAGAGGCGCCGGTGACGCACACAGTCTTCGCCGCTCCGCCGCTCATTCTCTCTCTGATTTTGGTTCAGATTTTGTGAGTGGTAGAGTTGGACTTGTTTTCTCCTATATATTCTAGTTTTCACTTTTTTTTATTTGGTCCCCCATTCAAATCATTACAAAATTTTCAGAATTTGTTGATTTTGCAGACGTTAATAATGACTAATTAAATATATATATATATATATATATACGCACACTAGTCTTTGTATTCTCTATTTATTGTAGTAAAATGATTGTTATTAAATTATAATGATGGATTGGGAATGGCCCATGACTCGGCGAGAATTTGACACATATTTAATTATGAGTATTATTATAAAATAAATATTTTATTTTTATTTTAACTAATTATTTAAATTTTAATGAATTCATTAAACATTTTAATTCATTCATTTGTTTGTAATGTCTTGATTAGTTAAGTTAAAAATGTTTTATTTTATTTCATTTAAAAAAAAAATCAAATCTATTCTCCTCCTTCAACAAGATATACAAAATAAATATTGGGAGAGATTTCGTTTTTTCCACATAAAATCGAACTTCTTTCTATTCTTGGGTTTCATTGTGCTTTGAAGAGTGTATGCTTAGAAATTGTGTTAATCTTAAGGAGCAATTGACGAACAAACGATTTAGCATCATGGTCATGTCGAAATTGCTTTCAAGACAATAGATTCTATCCATGGTACAACATTTGGTTTCATTTAAATTCTCTTCCAAACTTTAACAAACTAACCTGAAACAAAATTAGAATAAAATTTGGCTTAACTTGAATCGATTTGGGTCGGTTCGAGTTTGACAATGGATCGATCATTTTTTTTTGTTTGAGATTGAAAATTGAAAAAGAGAGAAAGAAACTACCATAAATAATTTGGTTCAGTTTTCTTGTCGACTAAATTAAACCGATTGAGTTTTTTTTTTTTAATTATTGTCTGAAATCCAAATCCATCGACCCACATAAATTATTACATAAGACAAAATTATTATGATTATTTATACAAATTTGATTTAGAGTACGAATTTTGTATTTGAATTTGTTATTATTGGATTTATTTTGTTTATGCAAGGATATGCACAACAGTGTGTTCCAGATTGCAGCTCGAACTCGGCCTCCGGACTGACCTGAACGCTTGGGCGGACCTGCACAAAAAGGTGAGCACTCCGACGATCAAGTCAGTATAGGTCGGATTCCCAATTTAGTTCGAGGTCAGAAATCATCGTACCTAATCGTGGAGTGAAGTCCTCTACTTATGGGTGGTAGTCCCGCTAATCTCGCGACGGTTACGTTCGGTAATCTCGGGACCGTCGGTTACACCCGGTAATCTCGGGATCGACGGTTACACCCGATAATCACGTCGTAGACAGTTGCTCACATCGGCCCCTACCAAGCTCCCCGGTAGGTCGGACCTGGGCCAGGTTCACCTCGGCCCTCATACTTAGCATTTGTCGGCGTTGGTGGCGGCCATCTCGGACATCCGAGCTGGGCATGACTCATGAGCCATCTTGGAGCACCAATAGGGGTCCTCCACGTGTCCAGGGTATTCCCTTCCCCAAACATTGGCCCCCTCTCTGTCTGGTCCGATCTCGACCTGGCAGAGAAGTTCATTCGACTTGCTTGGGACACGTGGCGACTTCCTATTCGTGGGAAAATACAACCGTCGCGGAAGATTTATCGTCGGAATATTCAAATATTCCGACGCTTCGG